CGCAGCGCCCCACCGGCCCCCCGTTCGTTACGGTGCGAGAGTGTGCGACAGGTGGGTGCGTTGGCCAAACATGTGAGGTGCCGCGACTCGCCGGATCATGGTGCTGGAGCTTGGAGGAGTAAGAGGAGGGCCGGCGTCCTGTCGAGGCGTCGTCCCCCGCTGTCGAGGAGAACGGCACCCCGAGGCGACATGGCCCCGGATGCCGCAGTTGAAGCACCGCGGGAGCGCCGATGGAGACGATGGACGGTCGAAACGCCTCGGCCCGTCCCGACCCGGCCGCGCCCCCGTCGTCTGTTGCCGTCGATGGTCGACGGCATAAAGTTCTTCTGACGGAAGGGTGGCTGCAGCCACCGCACGCCCAGCCGATGCCCTGTTTGCCTTTCGCCGCTGCTGCAGAAGGTTGGCGTGGAGGAGTCGCGCAGCCTGGAGGGAGGTCATTTCTGCATCCCCTTGTGCGATGACGACGATGTCGAGGTCGTCCGCCAAGAGGAGGATCTTCTCCGCGACCATTGCGTCCACGCCGTCGTCGTCCATGCGGGGAAAGGCTGTTTTTGCCAGCGCCAGAAGACTTGTCCGGAAAGCCAGAGGCGACTCTTTTTCACCCCGCCTGCGATCGTAGAACTGCTGACGGCATTCGGCTGAAGGTCCATAGACCCCGGCCAGCAGCTGTAGCGCCATTGGTAGTGTAGCCCGCTTCTCTTTTGGCGCCGACGTGAGTGCGGCGAGCGCGTCCCCATCGAGGAGCGCCGGCAGCGCGCAAAGGGCCTCCTCGTCGGACCACCGCGCCATCTCCTGATGGGCGAGGAAGCGTCGCCGGAAGCCGCCCCAGTCACCCTCCGCACCGATGAATTCCTTCAGCGGGGGCAGCCTTTGGTGAAGCGCAGCGGTCGATGTGGACTCCCGCAGGTTGCTTTCACCTCCCTTTGGCGGTGCCTCGGCGCGACTGGCCGATGGCATCGCCTGTCGCGGCAGCGATGACGCATCCTTCGGCTGCGATGACGCTGCAGCCCCGGCGACGGCGATGTCGGAGCCGATGTCTGAGCTGGCCACGCCCCGAACAGCCGCGGCGTCCATGGCGGGAAATTCAAATTGTGAAGTCGCTGAAATGGCGGGAAAGTGCTCCGGCCGCCGGTTCTCCTCGCCCTGCGGTGGACCACCAGCCCCCAACCGCGTAATGCCTTCCAGTGTGGCGGCAGCGGCATAAAGTAGCTCCGCCAGCCGTTCGTGAGCCAGTCGTAGTGCATCTGGCTGCGGCCCCTCTCCATGCTGACGTCCCGGTGAGAAGGCGCCAGGCTCCGGCTGCACCCCATCTTGTTGCTCTGTCTCGGGCTCGGCGATCTCCGCGGCGTTCTCCTCTTGTGGTACCCTGGTCCGAGCTGTATGGCGCGTTTCCATTTTTACCACTTCTGACGCCAGATGAAGTACCCGTCGAGGACGCTTGACAACGGAGTTGAGGCACACGTATATTTATTTAACAAGTTGCCAGTACAGGACAGCCCTAGAGGGGGTAGCGGCCCCCTCACCCGTATAACTCAGGGAATACCCCTAGCTATCCATAGCCTATCCCCTGAGTCCTCCACTAAGAGCTAGGGGAGGCTGTCTGGCCCGACACTGGTAATCGGGCTCGGTACCCGGAGTCCCAGAGCACTGGCTCTGGTTCACGGGACCACGCCACTGGCTCGAGCCTGATCCCGTGGGGCCCTGATAAGGGCGGCGATCAGGGGGAGTCCAGGGCTCTAGCTACGACGTCTTCCGACTTCTTAGCTTAACTATAACATAACTGACTAAGCCCATATAACGACCCCTTTTTATACCCAACCCTCCTTGAGGGGTGGGGCCCCGGGGGATCGTAACGCCGAACCAGCCCCCCCCCAGGGTGTCTGGCTCGGACGTCGCAGAGGGCATCTCCCTGTGCACACACGTAGCCCCGCCCACTGTGTTTCTTTCCCATAGGCTGCCATGCATAACGGCCCTCTCTCCAACGTCCCTACACACTCACCAACACTCACCACCACTCAGATCCTCACAACCCAACACTCACTGCCACCCCGATCCTTATAACACAACACTCACCACCATCCTAATATCACCACCCCGATACCCACAACCCAACACTCACCACTCTGATCCTCATAACCCAACACTCACCACCGCCTCAATATTCACAACCCAACACTCACCACCACTCACCACCCTGATCCTCATAACCCAACACTCACCACCACCACCTCAATACTCACAACCCAACACTCACCACCACCACAATACTCACAACCCAAGACTCACCACCACTCACCACCCTGATCTTCATAACCCCACACTCACCACCACCACCTCAATATTCACAACCCAACACTCACCACCACCTCAATATTCACAACCCAACACTCACCACCACTCACCACCCTGATCTTCATAACCCCACACTCACCACCACCACCTCAATATTCACAATCCAACACTCACCACCACCTCAATATTCACAACCCAACACTCACCACCACTCACCACCCTGATCCTCATAACCCAACACTCACCACCACCACCTCAATATTCACAACCCAACACTCACCACCACCACCACAATACTCACAACCCAAGACTCACCACCACTCACCACCCTGATCGTCACAACCCAACACTCACCACCACCTCCATAACCGACCACTAATCCTCCCGGTGGCACTCATCTCTGTGTGCTGCTCTTATCCAGTTGTGGTGAATGTCCACGTTCCCATGCCAGGGGTGAGTTCTCCTTGGTGGGAATCCGTCTCGCCACGTGGCCGCGTATGAATAACAACACAGGCGGCAACAACTATAACTACGACTGCAATACTCATGATCTAACGCAGCTGTGCTGTGATGTGTCAGAGGGCTTGACCCAAATCCGACTTGGGAGCTGACCAACGCCATCCTCAACATCTGCTTCCCCACGCCGTGGTCTGAGACTCCTTCCCCCCCACTACCCTGTCCAAGTCTAGACTCGAGACTCCTCGATCTCTGGACTGGCTTCCTCTACTCTACACAAGAACTATAGCCGGTTTCTACAGCGTTTGTAAGATGCGGTCTCACGTACGCACGGTCACGTATATCATATCAACAGCATCAGTCATCATCAGAAGCATGGCAATGATCACCACCGCCACAACCACGATCAGGCCGGTAAAACCACGCGTTTCTGTTTCGATAGGTCTCTCTCGTCATTTCCAGACGTGATTCTTGTCGGCATGAGCTCAGCCAATGGGACCTGCAAGCGTGGAAGTGGCGAGTCGGCATCGATGGGTTCCCAGCTGCACACACTGAAGCATCGAGCGTTGGCGACTAAACCGTGCTGACGAGTCCTAACGATGACGAAACCCGATCCACGGCCGTCTCACTTTCGCCTGTCAGTCGGCCACCTATTTGCTCGAATTTATTTTGATGTTAAGACAAGATAACCGTGTACGCAGTTGTTCAAGACCTGTTGATGGTTTCTGTATAACGCGCACACACACGCAGCCCGAGTGGCTTTGCCGTCCATTGAGTCGCCTCTTCAATTTGCTTGAATTCGCCACTCACAACTCAAAATAATCAAAACTGCGCCGAGACTAAACCCCGAGAATATTCTCTCGTTGGGTTAATGAAACCGTTTGGTGGGAAAGCCGGCAGAGCCATTCACGAGTGATTTTGTTGTAACGCTTTGTTTTGTTAGTTGGGTGTTGTCCACTCAATTCCTGCGGCTGAATCGGCGACAGTAATGATTGTACAAATAAACCGTGGCGTGATTGGAGCGCGGGAGACGGCGCGCTCCACACTGGAGATCTCCCGCGAGGATGCTCAGGGGTCCAGACTTTCTCAGACACCAGGCCGGGAGAAGTCCGGGCAGGACGGGGAGGGGGGGCGCAGTCCCCGCCCCCCCTAAATGCAGAAATGTTCAGACGCCTGTTGTGTCATTAACCGATTTCGACATTTGTTCACGAGTGAAATGTATTGCCGTGTTGTTCATTCGTCCGGTGGAGGGGTGGTGGTTAGCGCCACGCTGCGCCACGAACCCCGCTGACCCGAGTTCAACTCTTTTCCCACCGTACGTAGCCAAACGTGCTAATCGGAGGTGCCTCTCCTAGGTTAACTCAGCCTCAAACGAGTACCCGGCACAGTGTAAATGTTTATACAAGGGAGACAAAGGCGGCCGGGTATTCACCGGGTCTCCGACCGGTGCCCAGGGTTGCCATCGGCTCCCCCGCCAACATAACAACAATTACCGAGTGCGGCGCGCAGCTCCGCACGGATTGAAGTTGACAACAAACGTCGCTTTAAAGATGAGAGCGGAAACCACGTCGGGAAGGAACTGCACACACAGCCGTCATTTAATGAAGGAAACACTCAACCCTCGAAATACACACACAAAACCAAGCAGCTTATTTTGTATTTACACTTCCAGGACGTCACGACCGGTGTGGAAGAGTAGGCCTAAACACCCTGCAGGGGAGCGCTCTACTGGCGGGAGAGCCTCTGCAAGACAGGGGGGGGGGGGGGTCTAGAGAGCTCTTGGAGAGCACCACGGACACGTCACGACTCGCGGTGCCGACGTAGGAATTCGCTATTTGGATAAGACCCGGGGGGATTGAAAGGTGAAAACCGGTACTTTCATATTTACAGAAGTTTTAAAACTGTCGCTCTGTAGTGAGCCGATGGCCTCAGCCCGGCGATCAGCGACTGTGCGTTCAATTTTGGTTCCGCACCTAATTTGGACAGCTCTGACAATAACAAAATGCGGATATGACGACTTGTCGCGCAACAAACGTCACTCTCGTACGCACAGCGAGTGGGACGGTGCCTGCGTGTGGACCGGTGGTCGCTTGAAAAAGGGGATCTTAGCAGTAGCTCCGAGATATCCGCTTCTGCGGGCCACCCACGAAACAACACCAACGGGGGCCGCTGCGTGAGATTTCCGAGACCACGCTTCGTGACAACGCGACGCCGATGGCACGACTGGTACAAAACTAAAATAAATCAGGGGAAGAAGTACAAAAGAATTTATTAAATTAAAAAAATGTTCCACTGTATCATCGGTCATTGTTTAGTCATAAACAGAACACTTTGTTTGGGTCGTCTCTTCTCGCGTCACGCGATTGACGTGGCGAAATTGCTCCAAGCTTGTCACTTTTTCCGAGATTTCTTTTTTGCAGGTCCTTCCTCCACCCCCTCGTCTTTTGCCACCGCCGCCGCTACCTCTTCCACCTCGTCCGCCCCTCTCTTCGCCTCCATGGTCGACTTGGCGTCCTTCTCCCCTCCGCCGGGGTCACCGAGTCTCTCCGTCAGGATGACGCCCTTGGCCATCTTCCTCGTTTCTTGGAATAAAAAAACAAAACCACAAAGCAATAAATCAGGAGCTTTACGTCAGGAGGAAACGTAGCGGCATAAATAAAAAAACCGTCTATTATTATTAAACATGCTGCTTCAGCAGGGTAGAGGTCAGCAGCGCTCGACTTGCAGAGTAGAGATCGCCAGTTTGATTACCATCTCCAGGCGCGGCAGTTGAAACAACGGCGGAAGTTCAAAATCTCCGATAAGACTGGAAGAACCCGATGAGCTATTTGGCTCCCTTTCACAGACGTCCACAAAGTTGCCTAAATCCCCACCCCCACACCGCCTGTCCACCCAGCGGTGTGAATGGGTTCAACAGCGGTCAATCGGCAGGGCGCACGCGGTGGGGTAAAGTGTGGGTAACTCCCGCCTGCCCCAACACGCCTAGGCCCCTGTGTAAGCGGAGGCCCTCTCTGTCAGCGACAGCGGGCAGTTGCAGGGCTGCAGCTTTACCGCCGCCTATCGTTTAAACGCGCGACGACTTCAAACCTGGCAAATCGGTGAACGCTCGTGATGAGAAATTGGGCTCTTATTTGATGGAAACATCTGCCGGGTGGTGTTCGTCTCATCGTACTGTATGGCGGTGCATTTGGTCGTCTGTTTCGTTTGTCCGGTTAGCGTCGTGTGGACAGTACGTTCTTCTTCACGGGTGCGGCACCGTCTCTCGCTTGTTCCGTCTTTGCGTCTCGTTTGTACGTATGTACGTAGAACTTCTTTCGCACCCTACGTAGCCAACCGTGCCAGCTAATCGTCGGTCTGTCGTGCCTGTTTGACTGTCCCGAGTCGGCTGTGTCGTCTCGTTCGCTTCGTCCCCTTTGCTGTCTAGTCTCGTTTGTTGACTCTTTCAAAATGACAATATCCGTGAGCCTTAAGGTAACAATTAAACATCAAGTACTTTAAAAAAATTCGTAGGTTTTTTAATAAAGTCATGCAGATAGGTTCAAATAAAACTACTTTACCGAAAGACCCAAGAATATTAATTCCTGCAGTCACGAAAGCTTTAAGTCAAGATCTACTTTTCTAAAATTGAACAATCACAAAGGCACAGGCGAGACCAATCTACGTCTTCACGCCCATGGAACACAGCCAAGTGATGCGTGTGCTTCTCTAGGCCGACCCTGTGCTCGCTGTGTAATCCGTGTTGTCTTGAGGTCCGGGCCTCTCCTCCCCCGCACTACCGCAGGGAATCTCGAGTTGGCTGTGCCATCATTAATCAGTGATGGTGATGAAGAGGACAGACGGAAGTCAAGGATGAGGTTTTTGAAAGCGAGCGATGAGGTTTTTGAGGGCGGAGCAATGAGGTTTTTGAGGGCAGGCGATGAGGTTTCTGAGGGCGGGAGAGGCGGTACGAACTTGCGTGGATGATGACGGCACGGCAGTTGGAGGAGACGGCGTTCTTCCCCTCGCTCTCCGACAGGCCGAACAGCAGGGCGCTAGCCACCACAGGGGTGCAAGGTCAAAGGCCAAGGGCGTGCGGACGAGCAGCAGAACTGACAGGACGTCATCACCATCATTATATATATATATTCGCTATTATCGATCATGAGTCAACATCGTCGCTATCATGATTACGACGATCCCATCAATAAATCACGCGGAACGCTACCGTTACGCTACCGTTACGCTTGGCGTAACGACGCAAACAGAACTGCGCAAAACGAGATGTCAAAAAACAGAGGAAATAGGATTCACAAATTTAATTCTGACCACGTCACCCAATTAATCGAAATCTCTGCCAGGCAAGAATTGCTCCCTTTACCAAATCTCATTCATCCGAAGAAAAAAAACCACAGGCCATGCTAATCAGTAGCTCACAGCACGGGAGGACTTGTTCAGACCCTGGCCGGGTGGCTCAGCAGTTCGAGGCACTGGGCGAGCACCGCCGGGATCCGGGCTTCGAGCCGCGGCTCGCACTTGGGGAGGTGCCGGGCTGAATCGTCGTTACGGTGGCTGCTCGCACAACAGCAGCGGGAGGAGCTGGAGCCGGGGCCTGGTTCAAACTCCGGCCCTGGGAGGCATTGGGGGAGACTTAGCGAATGGTGGTGTGAATTGGAGATTTGTTGCACGCCTGCTGTCAATTCACGTGGTGGTTTCAACGCTACACATGCACGAGCTCCTTTGATAATGTCATCGCTGCGTGCTTTCATCCTGAGTCTGTCCCGAGCGTTTTTGTCTGTGCGGAGAAGCGTGGAGGTGTTGGAGGGGACGGGGGTGGGGAGAGGGGCACGCTTTGTTCCAGCACTGACTCCTACGCATGAAGACCAGATTCCACAGGAATTGGAACGTCGCTCTCAAAACTCGTGCTTCCACACACAGCCGGCATCTCTATTTCGGAACGGCGGGGAGAGCTCTGAATAAAACAAATCACGCGTCTGAGTCATAAACAGCCTGAGGGGGGCAAATGCGCTCCACAAACGCTGTGTATACACACACATACGCGTGTTGTTATCTCCGCAGATAACAGCACGTGGCGACAGTTGTCCCTTAAGGTGGGAAAGCCCCCCCCTGCCCCGGAGCTTCTGATCTTGCAGATAAGAAAAAAAACTCCTCCTCGATTAAAAAGCCTTACGCTCGGGACAAGCGCATTGTTTTGCCTCCTTGCTTCCTCACACTGGGGCAGAGCGCTGGTGACCGCACTGCGTCACGAACCCGGCGAGCCGAGTTTGGTTTCTGCCCAGCGTTTAACGTCAGTAGACGGAGATAGCTGCCAATATACTGAGTGTCCTCGTAGGCCGGACCAGCCTTACATTAGTTCCTGGTACGGGGGTGTAAACATCGGCACTGGGGAAAAGCGGCCTGGCGTGGGCAATTGTAGGCACACACCACCCCCATTCTAACCTCAATCTATGCTCTTTAACAGCGAGTGCCTCAAAATCCAATTAAGGCTATGGGAGAGGGTGGGGTGTATAAACAGCGTCTGTGCGAAAGGATACAGGTTGGCGACATCATAGGGTCCTCGTAGATAGAGCGGCTGTTTCACAAGAGGGGCACAAAAACACAGTGAGCGACAAAGACGGCAGTAACTCACGCATGATGCCACAAATCTCTCACTGAACAGGCTCCCATCGACTTAGCCCCTCTGCAATGTCACAATTAGACATTCGTGCACGATTCGAGGCCATGATTCGATTCAAATGGAAAATATTTTTTTGCTTAATTCCAAACGTCTCATTTGCGACGTATTGTCCGCCTCGTGTTGCCTTCGTGGTTCCACCTCGTCTGAATTGTCCATCTTGTACTGTCAGTCTCATGACGATCGTAAAAATTCAAGGAATTGCCAGGGTGGGGAGGTGAATTCTTCCTTCATTCCGTACTCTCACATCCAACGACCGATGACTAAACCGCAGGCCACGCTATTCTGCAGCTCACTAAATTAAAGAGCAAAAGCTCGTTGGTTGAGGTCACCAGATGGCTCGGAGGTCAGAGGTCAGAGACACTGAGCCAGCACCGCTGAGATCCTGGGATCAAATCTGGATTTCAGTTGCCTGTTGTTCAAGAGGCTTGCCAAGCTTAGTGCGCCGATGATGCTATCCTGATCACCAATGAACGCACAAAACAAAAACCCCATCGCATCACATTTCATTTTGTGATTAATTTGTCTAAATTTCAGCTGTGATCAAACAATGTTTCGTCAGTTTTTTTGCCAACGATGTCATCACTCATCCATATAATGGAGATGTTACGAAGCTGAATTCCGGTCGCAATTTACGGCTGTGAAGCTGATGTCACCATGCGTTAATAATGCATAATAACGCAAAGGTCATTTCACTAAGTGACTTTTAATAATTCTGTAAACTACGTCAAGCTGTAATCATAAATAATGTGACGTTGCGGTCCGCAGGGACGGGGTGTGATGAGTGTGTTGTGTATGTCCAAGGTAAGAGCTGTGTGTTTTGGCTTTCGTCTGCCTTTAAATAAATCAAACGTAAGACAAACGCATGGAAGCGATGACTTACGTTGTCGGTGCCGCTGGAGATGATGACATTCTGAAAAACAAACAGAGCTCTGTAACATCCCGTGGCCCTCCTCAACACCAATCAAGCTCATTATCTCTCTTTCTCCCCAAAGCCACGCTCCCCAGCAGCGAGCAACATACATGACAAAGGCTCAAACACGCATTTCACTTCGTGTCTTTGCCCCATGTCACAAAACAATTATTTAAAGCCACGGTGGGGTGAAATGTGGGCACCCTCAGCTCGCTCACCTTGCCCTTGCAGACCAGCGTGAGGCTGAGCGCGTTGGAGATGGTGCTCCGCCGTGCGGCAGCGTCGCGAACGGCGGGCGAGTACGACAGCTCGAAGAACACGCCGCGCGCGATGGCCTGCACTCCGACGGGGCGACGCGTGGGTTGCCGGTTTCAAGCTCGACTCTCGACATCAGCTCGAGCCTCGCTTAAATCACGTGACTTCTGTGTGGGCACCCCCCCCGCCCATCTACTCTGAACCCCTCCCTTCTCCTGCCCCCCCCCACCCCTCTGTGAAGACAGATACTGCTCCTCTTCCATGCAGCAGCGTCGAGGTCCTCATGTAGCCTCTTGCTCCCAATCCTCATCTCTCCTGAACCTTTGCTCCCGTTTCTCCGTTGCTTTTCTATCCTTTCCGTATAATTTCCCATTCTGTCTCTTCTCTCTTCCCTTTGCAGCTCCTTTTTTAATATATAGAAATAAAACATCCTCGACTCTACTCCCTGTCCTGTGGTGTGCCACAGGTACAACAGTTGTGAGTTTTATTTAACCGGGTGAGAACTCAAGAGGCCGGGAGAAATTCTCGATGTTAGTAACAATAACAATGCCTCAAGACTCGCATTTGGGAGGTTCCTGCTACATTTTAGATTGTTGGTGAATTCCTTTTTAAATAAGGAGTGGCTTCATGCGGAAATGAATGAAAGCGTCTGGAGAAAACCCACCAAGTGTGTGAAGGGATAACAAAGCTCCACACAGATATCATTCAATACCCTTGCTCTACTGCCATCTCCTGGCTTTCTCAAAGCCCAGCAGGTTTGTGAATTTAAAAATCTACGTGAACCACCCACCCTCGCCTCCAAAGTGCTGGATGACTAAAGTATTCTTATTTTACCAAGTGAGGCCCACTGAGCTATATAGCTCTTCTTCAGAAGCGACCTGGCTATCACGTGCAAATTTAAAACCAGAGGATGCATCAAAAACACTTGCTACGCGTCCAAGGGGAGAACATGCAAACTCCTAATATACAGCAGGCGTCAGGGTCGGGATCGAACCCACAACCTCCTCCATACCAGGCGAGGTCGTTAACATCTCGCCACAGTGGATCAGGCGTGCACCACCATTTAGGTACTGATGCTCAATGTCTAATGGTATTGAAAGGTGATGGGACATTAGAGAATTTCGGCGCAATCGCTGGTGGATGAAACCAGGTCTCAAACCCACGCTCTCAGCCTCGCCAGCGCAAGTGTTTTTGACGCGACAATTGCGTGTCTGCCGAGCCGCCCGTTTTCACTTCTACCCGATGCAACGTTTTCAGATCAACAACAGATTGATTCTCGCCCAAAGAAAGCCAACAGGATGGACTAAAAATATTTTCATTTACATGCAGAGGCGCACAAGACATTTCTGCTTATGTTGGCTCTCAAGAGGGAAAGCGTGAGCGACTGTCGTGGCAACAATTTTTCTGTTGTTGCTTTGTAAAAAAAAAAAAAATCTCTCATTTTGGAGCGATCTTTGGATCCCGATGAAGGCAGCAGCAGCAGCAACAGCGACCAATCAGAGAGGGAGAGAACATCCGCGTCTGCCCTCACCCCTCGGACGGACGGGTGGCGAAAGTAAAACGGTTGGCGCTCCGTGCCGTCGATGACGATGATGTCCACGTCGAGATCCATGCACGCCATCTGGTGTTCGGCACGGAAACACGCGCGTTGGAGAAACAGGTTTGTTTTAACTGGCGGCCACCCACCCCACAGTGAGCCAGCTCTTGGAGTGGTCCCCCGAGAGATATTGGCCCGCCGAGATAAATAGATACAGATTAGAGAGACATACAAGAGAAGCGAGAGAGATGTAGCGGAATAAATATTTCCGCAAGCTCTCGCCCGAGCGTTTTTAATGAGCACCAATAACAAACACACTCACGTGAAACACTTTCTCCGACTTGGGCATCACGGCAATGATGTCGTAGCATTCCAGACCTGTGCGCTGCACAACACAGACGGGCGTGCTCGTCAGCACGGAGCTCTCGTGATTCTGCCGAGCCATCGGCCGTGAACAACGCACGCCGTCCACAACAGGGCTGGGGAACCGATGGGCCGTGGGCCAAATGCAGCCTCCGATTTAACATTTTTTATAAGAGGCGTCCGCCAAAAAAACCTCCAGCAGGTTAACCTTAAACGCTAATCTCTAAACCTTAAAACCTACATTTTAAACCATAACCCCCCCAAAGTAATGCTGGCCATAACCCTCAAACCTAAACCACCGGTTGGCAGACACAACTTAATTTTATATGCCCTGTGGCCACATGAGCCCTACCATTTATAAAGAGCCTGCAAACCGATATAACAATTCATGAAAAATTGTACGAACAAAAACACATTTACCATTTTGTTCCCATGGGACGGGTCTGTGATGATAGCTGTCAGCCGCGTCAGGATCTTCAAGGGTTTTCCTGAGCCCTGAAAAACATCGCATGAGTTAGCTCCCACCACCACCTCCACCAACAACAACACAGCCAAAGGGACCGCAAGGCTAATTACAGACAAGAACGAAGATAGTTAGCATCGTGTTGCTAGGCCAGCAGGTAGCTCATTTCACATTCACGCCGGGTACACACTTGAGCGATAAGCTGCACAACCAAATCGTTCCCCAAATCACGCAATGCAATCGCCTGCAACTGCATTGTCCGCGTCTGAGCGAGTGGTTGTGCAATGAGGAAATGAAAGAGCGCACTCAGGACCGTCACCACCAATCATACTCGCAAGCGATGATATACGTCGCCGCAAATCGCTGAGAAGGGTGGAGCGGTCGCACAGCTGCTCGCGACCGGTCACAACGACGTCAACATATCAGTTGCATGCAACCAAGTTTTGCAACCGATTGCTCAGGTGTGGTTATCCCCGCTACACCAGGACGGTGGGCGCGTGCGAGTGCCATCACGGACCTGTACTTTTGGAGGATTCTCCAGGAGGAACTGCGGGATCTGCGGTCGCTTGATTTCCTGTGCAGAACCGCACGAGCAGAGCTTTCACACAGGGGAAAAACGTTGTGGCGCGCTACTCGCCCGGAATCTCAATACACGCCGTCACGGAGGACAGAGGCGCGCACACACACGCGGTGAGGCCAAAGGGGCACAGTCGTTACCTCCAGTCCCCCCTCCACCCACCCCGAATGGCTTCTTCATCTCGCGATAGGGCACCGAGACCACCAATTTGGAAAAAATTGCCGAAAAGCCAGAATAAAAAATGTATCGTAGGTGTTGTCGTGATTTTCCTTGTGTCGTGTGCCAACGAAATCTCAAGCCACGTGCGCCCGCGACGTACCCACCTGGCCCTTCACACTCAAATCCACCACGGTTGTGATGGCCACGGTTGAATATCCCACTGGGAAAAAATGTAAAACCACGGCAAATACAAAACACATGAAACAAAGACAAAATGTTTCCTTAAATGCGCGATGCGGAACCCATTGCGCGTGACCCCATTCTGTACGGTCCGTGACCTCATTCCATGAGGTCCGTGGCCACACGTGGCCAGAGGAAGATTTAGAAGCCTCCCAAGGGGGGAGCGGGGGGGGTAAGATGCAAAAATGTCAACATATTTAACTAGCGTCCTACATTAATAACGATACAAATCATTCAATGTATTTTCTCTGCTAAGGATCAATAAAACACCGATGTTCTGGGTCTCCAGACAGGTGGGGGGAGGGGGGTGCAGTGATAGGTGACAAGGTGTGTGTGGGGGGGTGACTGAGGCTTGTGTTTGCATCAAACTATTTGGAGATGCCTGCTGCCGCGTTGAGATTGGTGCACGGGGCGAGATGAATACACGACGGTTGCGTGCAGTTTCTTGGGCAGGAACGATGCAATTTGGCACCGATTTCGACCGTGCAACTGTTGGCATCTGGCACACGGAAGCGGTGGCGATGTGGTTGACATGGACGACACTCGGCCATGGTGACCTCTTTTATTTGAATCTGAGTGCCTCTGAAAGGTGTGGGGCACACACTGGGACGATATCGTGTACAGTATGTAGTTATTCAGGGGCATATGTCCCCACCCCCCCCCCCCCCCCCCGTTAGCTTGTTTTAATACGAGGGACAATTACATTTAGGGGTAATTAACGTCTTTATCTCACCGTCACCGTAATCTGCCTTCCCCTTTCAAATGCGCATCAAGTCATTTACACGCCACACATGACTGACGGTTGGCGGACACATCTATTCACACTCGCACGTGTCGCAAGTCACCCACTGTACAACACGTGCGGCGGAAACGACGACACCGATCTACGATGCACTGCTGGATGAAGGACTTCCCGACGCCGTGTCGGTCACGGGGGGTTGTTTGGCTAAACTTTACCCCGCTGTGCTTAGTGGGCCCGGGTTCAGAGCGTAGTGGTGCTATCCAATTTGCGAGGAATTCACTCACAAGCCTAACAACTTTAGCGTTCCGTTGATGAACACGTGGGGGATAAACCCTAGGGGGGGTGGGGTGTACCGTGGTAGGTCGCGAGAATTGAAGTTCTCAAAGAAACAACATTGACCCACTCTGTTTACTGTACAGTGCACTGTACAGACACGTGTGTGCTCGGCACGCGTGTGCGGCGTGGCCTCCGGCGCATGTCCCGGGCCGCACTTACGCCTCGCTGCCGCCTCCACGACGCTCTGCAGGTGCTGCGGCTTAGCGTTGGCGCCCCCCGTCAGGTTCAGCTCGGCAGACATTGCCGTGATCTCGTGCGCGCCGTTGCTTCGAGCGTGCCGGCTTTGGCGTCTTGAATCGCGACCCCGCCGTGGTGGTGCTTGTGTTGTTCTCGCCGCGCGTGCCTCCTCAAGCGGCCATCTTAGGTAGGGAGCATGCCCGTCGCGTTGTTGCTGCGGGGGGAGGGCGGGGCGGAGTCTGTGACGCCACTGCTCGTCTCGACCAATGGCGTTCTCTCCCGCTCCCCGACGTAAGATGTCCGACGCAGGGTCAGCACGTCACGCGTGTGGCTCGCCGTAGGAGGTTTCCGCGAATTCCGTTGGTCGCGTTTTGAAAATTATATTTATCGGAATATTTTACACAAATTTTTTTTGGGTTAGATCGCGGAAATATAAAATGTGTTGTTAAACCTGCCACAGCCAATTAGTAAGGGTTGTCACGTGAACAGAACATGCCGATTCGTTACTAGTACAGCACACCGGTGTGTCGGCATGTTGTTTACGTGACAACCCTTATTAATTGGCTGTGTCGGGTGGTTGGCGGGTTTAAAGACACAATTATATTTACGCGATCTAATCCCCCCCCCCCCCCAAAAAAAACAATCTATATTATGCATGACATTGGTGGCAAAAGCCTCCTACGTGTTAAACATCAGAATATTTATTTCCAGCGGAGGAATCCCATGAGCTTTAAAGCTCTTTTTGTCACATATGTAGCGTCGTTCATGCACAACTGCATCGCACAGCATTGGACAAGACCGCTAATAACAAATATATAAATATTATTACATTTAATGGGGGCAACGTGCGCAATCACGTGGTTTCAACAAGTGACGGTTCAAATGAACCAATCACGACGCGGGGTTGGGCTCGACGAGGCGTGGCGCCTCCAAACGACACCCAAACATTGCGTGGACGACGACGGCACAGGACTCGAGGCTACCAACTCATTCGCTATTGAGTCCCTTTTATACGTCTTCTATACTGGTGAGCTGAACTTATAAACATAAATAATAAAAATTAATTATAGAAATAAAATAATTGTTATTTACTATTTAATTTCTATTATTATTTCTATTATTTTTATTATTTATTTTTACCAACGTGACTTTACCGAAGAAACCTAAGAGTATGAATCCTTGCAGTCACGAAAGCTTCAAATCTAGATCTGAACTTATAACCGTCCACCGCTGGTTTGGTGGTCGTTTTCATCAAATGATGACCCGCCCACGCTGAGCGCACACGCACAGGCTACTGCACTTCTTTGCTTCTGGATTCTCAGTTTCCAGCGCTGTGATTTTAAACAATAATGATTCTGACGCCTTCCTGCCTTTATTTTCAAACTAAAGTCCAACTTTTTGCGTTGTCATCCTTGTTGATGTCTGTCACATTACTGTGTGTGGACTGTTGGTGCAAATGCTGTTAGAGAGTAGCACCTAGATCGGCACAGCACACGAGGGCCAACACCACGCCCGGCCGCCTTTGTCTCCACAGTGGCGATGTTTACACACCGCACCAGGTACTCATTTGAGGCTGAGTCGACCTAGGCGACTCCCATGACCGGTTCAAATAATCGTCACCGGTGTTGGCCGTGAGCCGGAATCGAACTCGAGTCGCCGGGGTCCGGTGGCGCAGCGCGCTCACCGCTGCACCACCGCTCCCCGAGTTAGCGAGCCCGTCCACCCGGCAGCGGCACGAGTAAGAAATTTCAGGGCTGCGCCTTTAACCTCGCGGCCCCTCCCACCCGGAGCCCCGCCCACCCTCGGAGCCCCGCCCATCCTCGGAGCCCCGCCCACCCTCGGAGCCCCGCCCACCCTCGGAGCCCCGCCCACCCTCGGAGCCCCTCCCACCGCGGAGCCCCTCCCTCCCCCGGAGCCCCGCCCTCCCAAAGGCGTTAATTTATTTATTTTGAATTTCGTGACAGTGCGTCGAGGACCAATCAGAGGCGAGTAGCATCGCCCTTCCGCTCTTGTGATTGGCTGCTCGACCTAACGGCTGAGGCCCAACGGCTCCACCGCCCCGCTTCGCCCCGCGGGAGTCGCGAGCGGGACTAGCGCGAAAAGGGCCCCTCGGTTTAAATGTATTCCTTTTTAATCGAGATAAGCAGAGTATATTAACGTCGTGTACATTTTACGAAAACAAAAAAAGTGATCGTCACCAAGCGGTAAGAGGATGAGTGTGCGATCGTGAGATTTTGCTGACAAAATGTTGGGATTTTGTTGTGTTCTGAGGCGAAGTTCTAAACTTTACTTTCTGGAGAGCGTGGTTCTGTGATAAGCCCCCAGCGGGGTTAACGGCTTATAAATCACAATTAAAATCATTATTGTCATGAGAAACAATTGTATTTATACTTCGAAAATGAATGAAAGGCGCTGTATTCGCTGTGATTGCTAATACAATAATCGATTATAATAATCACTCACGCGTTTCCAACCCGCCTAATGTCCAGCGTGGTGAAGTATAGTTGTTCAAACAATCTCCTCAGGAGGGGACATTTAATTTAGCAGTCGATTGACAAAGGGATGTACAGATTACCGGCCTTTATCCACTGCTGGGTGAAGATCTCTTCGCAGCCGCGATTTAAAAAAAAAAATAACACGAGTGGCAGTCGCGGTTGTGTTGGCATTGCTATCCGCTGTTCATTATACAAATGCATACTGTGTAGGTTAAATGTTGTATATTTCTATACGCGTCATTACGTGTTTGCTATGTGTGCGTCAATTGATAGAGTGGATAACCCTTGCACAGAGACGTTTAATCTCGGGATTTTAAATTATGTTGAGTAAGTACCGCTGCGATCGTCTGTACATGTGTAATTTCAGCTGATAGTGCCCCTGTATCGTTTTAATCTATCTCACCTGATTGTAAATAAAACAAACTCCTCAACATCGGTCAATAACGCTGCCTTCGAAGGAACACGTGAGGTGACTGTTGGCCGTTCGTCATAACATACACAGAGAGACCAAGAGATTCATTCCGTTTTCAGTTTCATTTATTTGGTATAGCCCTGTGAGCCATTCGGCTCTTGAATCGTGTGCAACCGCAACAAACAAAAAAAACATGAACAAGAAAACATCTTAAAGTGACTACGCGCAAACAAAAAAATCCAGGAAAAAAACTGCAAAAACTTCCAGTAAAAGCACCGTATTACCAACGCTGTGTGCAAAAATTCCAGTGGGATGCAAGTCAAACAACAACAACATGTAGTAACCAACAGTTGTCCAGAGAATTTCATTTTTTAACGTTTCATGATCAGATATAAATTTCCGTATTAATAGTTTACCTTTCAGTACAAATTAAGACAACCCCTTGAATCAAAATGTATGACTAAATACAAATAAATTATATTAGAGATAAAATTATGTAGTGTCGTATCTTGTTGAAGAAAACTCATTTTCTACTCGCGACTCATTCTCGGGCATCAGTTATCATTTCAGTAGGATCAGAGGTTTTAAGAACAATGTTCGGATAGCATTGAGCAAGTATGTGATAATATTGATGAAGATAATTATTGGATAATGATTTGGTGGTGATGCTCTGGTAATCCTTATGATGTGGTGGGAGTGATGGTGTTGGTGGCCATGATGATCATCTCATCACAATCAGGCTTGCTTTAATGATGATGGCCGAGGACTGGCTTACATTAAAAAGCAAATATTTAAGTGGGTTTGCTATGATGATTATGATGCTGCTGGTGATCACTTATTAATGTGTTTTTCCCCTTTTGGCTTTTGCTCAACTTTCCTCAAGGTTGTTGAGTGAGATGGCGAACCCTTCGACCTTCCGCTATGTCGAGTCGCCCTACAAGGACATTGACAATGTCTTGGAGTCCACAACAGATATAGAATACCTCCCCGAACGCAGGCGCCTTTTCCCGGAGTTCTCCGTCATCTCCCCATCGGTGTGTGTACACGCTGTGTAGCTCATGAGAGTTTCAGTCGCTTCACACGCGACTACTAGACTGCAGGACAATTGCTGTCCTGTGTCTAATTTACACCATACTTACAAAAGATTGGATTAATATTGGTAAAAATATATAACAATCATACAGTATTCTCTGTTTCACAAGGTCATTAAAAAAGGCACTTTTGGGTGGTAAAGCATTGGTTTCACACCCTGTGGTGTTTGACGCTTGACCGCATACGCTACAGGAGAATACGCCGCCAGAAGATGTGGACACGAGGGAGCACCTGCGCGTGTACGCCAGGATCAAGCGAGTTTCCGGCAACAGCAGCGAGGCTGTGGAAGAGGTTGGTCAAAGGTTTCCTAGATGTTTGTGGTACCTATTACAAAATGAGGTGATGGATGTGGAAAACGCAAGCAATGGGGACTTCTTAACAAGGTTTCACAGTGATCGCTTTGTTGTACTCCACCTTTAAATTGCTGACAATTGTGTTCTTAATGCATTGTTTCACACATTGTTGCAGTCGTGCGTGGTTGTGGAAGGGGATGGAAACCTCCTGCTGCACGTTCCGAATAAAAACCTCTCCCTGAAGCAGGGGGATCGGATCGAACAGACAATACAACGATACAGCTTCACACACGTGAGTGCCCCCCGCCAGCAGTTTGGTAGACATGCACAAGAGAGGTTCCTTGAACCCCACATTTCCACCAACTTTCTAAAACCGATTCAAGCATTTTCTGTGTCTTTCCATGAAGTCCAAAAACAACCAACGGGAAGCGATTGATAAAAAAAAAATCAGCCAGGTCACACGATCTATCCAGTAAATATTTGTTTCAATATATGTATAAGAAATGTTTTTCAGTGGCTTGTTAAACAAAAACATGGCACCGAATTTGAACTTAGCGCGAGATGCCTTTGACGGTGCGTGTCTTCCGTGTTTACCCCTTAACCTTAGGCATGTTTCCAAGGGTTGCCCCAGTGATTATCATGTTGTTTTTATTTTGCACATCAGGTATATGGGCCAGAGGTGAGCCAGAAAGAGGTGTTTGATAACACCGTCAAGCCACTCGTGAAAGAATTCCTCCTGGGAAACAACTGCCTCGTGTTCACCTATGGCGTAACTAACTCGGGCAAGACCTACACCGTGCAAGGTACACAGTGGCGGAGATGGTGGATATCGTGTATGTATGTTAAAGTTTTTTTGCACCGTACATAGCCAACGTTGCTTATCATGTTATTGGTTCTGCGTAAGCTGCATTAGTGCTGAGTGTACTGTATGCTAAGCTTCTTGATTTTTATATAGCCCATCATTGTATCAGCTTGGAATGGACTAATAATTTCAGGGCTTTCGAAGACCACCATAGTGTATTGGTGGCTCAGGGCGTTAATACTTTATCAGAGTACTCAGCTGACACTTGACATTTTGTGTTAAAATCTTGCTCTCAGCCACCTGTGATTAAACGGCTTCTCAAGTGGAGTAAATTTGAATGCATCCACCTGGCCAATGACTCCACAAAGAAGATCCATCATGTAAAATTTAGTTTTTCACATTATTCAGCTTTTTCTAGCTCTGAAAAAAGGATAATTCGACTGTGTTGAACTTTTCTGTCTTTATCAGTGCATGTTGGAAAACACATATTCTAGTGTGTGGATAGAAAAGGTGACGTTGAAGAGAATTCAGGATTAGTTTAGTGATTTCCTTCCCTTTCTCCATTTTTGAACATTCGGGACTATGCATTGCTGTGCGCGACTTCCGAATGGGCACATTGTCTCATTGTATGGCTCTGATGGCACAGATGTAATTAAATGAGAATAGAAGGACAAAGAGAATATAAGGAAAAGGAAAGCAAGTAAGAAAAAGTTCCTATTGTATCAGTGTTATTGTGCTCCCCTCCTCCCATGTTATTGTCTGGCTCAGATTATTACTTGTAACTAATTCGAGTTGTTGCCAGAAATCAAACCCAGGTTATCAGGATCATAGCATTGTGTGCTACTCACTGCACCAGCGCTGGAGAGGTGATTCAGATACACGTTGAACCTTAGAAAGTGTTAGGAGACACCACCTGACTGTGTTCCTCTGCTGTCCGCTGGCAGGCACGGTTAAGGACGGGGGCCTTCTGCCCCGCACCCTGGACCTCCTCTTCAACAGCTTGCAGGGTCACGTGTGCTCAGTGCCTGAGTATAAACCATACCGGAGCTCCGAGGTGCTGCACCTGGACCCGCGTACCATAGTGGAGGAACAGGCGGCGCAGAGCGCGCTCCTCGCGCTCGCTAAGAAGGTAGGAGCCCGAGGGAGAAGGGTCCTTGAAAGCACAAAGGTCAAATGTTGCTTGTTAGATGCTGTCCGGGTGAATTTATATCAATCTACAGCCTGATAAGGAGTGGAAAAATTCAAGCTAAACCACCTATGTGATACATTTCTGTTTGATTGAAGAATCAAAATGTTTATCGAGGCGCTAAATGGTATCCTATCTAATAGCTGCAGGGCTCATGTAAATAGGTTGCATACAATAAGAAAATATAAGATTAGTTTACAGCCCTTTGTCATTCCACTGCAAACTGGGGTCCTCTCTCATGCTGTATTGGTCATGGAAATGACCATAAACCTCCCTGATCAGTGTTGGTTGGTGAATGAGGGCCATAGGACCGGTTCAAATAACACTTGCCACTTTAATTAACAAAGCTTCAAACCTGTGTAGGACAGCTTGGGACACACAGTACAGGTAGCTAAAATATAAAATCTGTCTTTTTTGGTTTGCATCTTTGTTATAATTTTCAGTTGCTTGTACCTTCCTTTGCAGGCAAACCGCAGCCTTTTAGACTTGGACAAAACCAATGGGAAATCTTTGACGTCCACCGATGGGACATTGCAGGAATCCATCATGTGTGGGGGTAAGTCACCCATGCCTATACTCTCACTGTGAACATGGCAGTGGAGGAAAAGTGCAAACGATTCGGCTGATCGACGTGAGTGTGATTGGAGTAAAATTGGCAAAAAAAACGTCGCGCTCAGAGAAGCTTTTATGAATAAATACGTTACAGTTTAATTACTATAATTGCTAAAAGTGCACGGTTTTTAGAGGGATGTATTTGAATAATCATTACTGTAAAACGCTCTACCAGAAAGTGCCTGCTTTCAGGAGGAATGTGTAGGTATCAATCAAAGTGTCTGCTAATACCATCCTGCTAAAAGTGTCTGCTCATGTGTCTATTGCAGGACCGTCACAGTCCTTAAGCGAACTGGAGGGTCGCAAAGCCATCAGCGACTGCGTTAGCCTTGAGCCGTCGGAAAAGGAGCGCAGCTACTCTGTGTGGGTGGCATTCTACGAGATCTACAATGAGCTGATTTACGACCTTCTTGACTTTACGCCGGCCACACGCCTGGCCCAGCGCCACATCTTGCACATGGCAGAGGATCAGCACAAGGGCCCCTTCATAAAAGGTACAGGAATGGGGAGAGGTGGCAGCCGGGTGGCTCAAAGGTCAAAGCGCTCAGCCGGCACAGCTGAGAGTCTCAGATGGAATGTACGTTTCAGCAGTCTGTGATTAAACCGGGTTCCCAAAGAATAGCGAGTCAATGGCCTCAGCCTCGTCACACCGATGGCTGCATAAAAAACGAATTGCATTAACTTGGTTCTATACTTAACATGGCTAAATTCCAACTTTAGGAATTTATATATTGCTATGACTCATGAAACAGACATTAATCTCTGGCAGGGTGGGTGGGAAAGTGCTCACCCATAATGTGTGGACCAGAAGTCACTTAACGGAATCTTTGAAGTACTGTACGCCTGTGATATCCGCTTCCATGGGATAAAAGTTTGGGATAAAAACAAAAATGTGAGGAGGTGTGGTGGTGGTGCGGTGAGTGGAATTGTTGGCAGCGTGTGAGGTTGGTAGCTGTACAATTCTTCGTCGAGTTAAAATTGGTTGCGAGGCTTGCAATACACGTATCGAATTGTGCATGGAAGAATCAATCCTTTTTCTATTGCAATGTTTTCCATTAGGCTCATGATTGCAACGGATGAAACGTACCAGATGAGATAACGGTATAAACGAAATATGAGACGGGCAGCTAAGACTACAAATGAGATTGCACGTATGAGACTGAGAAAACGAGTTGCTCATAATGTATTACCGGTGGTGTGTGCATCTGCAGATATCAAGTGGGTTCAAGTGCACAATGTCATTGAGGTGCTGACCCTTCTAAATGCCGGCCGGAAGAACCAGAGTTTCGCCTCCACCAAGCTCAACCTCAACTCTAGCCGGAGGTACTGTGTGTAATTCTGTGGGAGGGTGAAAAAGAAAAATAATACTCAATCCTTTTGCTCAGATTATTGAGTCTCAAGACTCTTTCAGGAGGGTTATTTTGTTGTGATGGCCAGATAGACGAATGGGAGTTTGACTATGAAGGAGGAAACTAAAGATCTTGGAGAAAACACGTATGAGGGGGTATCTTCTCCAAGCTCTACACATTTAATATCGATTGCTGTTCTGCCATCTCCTGGCTAGCTTTTAGCCCAAGGCTACAGTACCTGGTATTCTACTGGACATAAGTGAAAAAGAGCTTCATAGCTCATCGGAATCCTCAAGTATGAATACAGATTCTGATTTTGATCTTGAATCGCAGGTTATCTTATCTAGGATTTTATATAGCGCTTTTGTAATCTCCCATTCAAGTACAAACCAGGCTCGCCCTGCTTATCTTCTGAGATGCGACAACATGAAATGCATTGAGGATGATTTGGAGGCCTACCCTGTAGTTTTTTTCAAGTTGTGTCGGTCGCGTGTGAATGCATTTATGAAGTGGACCATTGTCATGGGGGAATTTCTGAACTAGTTTGATAGCTCAGTCGGCAACGAAACGCCCGTGTGGGGTCATATGTTAACGGGCGATTCTTTGTATTTCCACGTTTTCTTTACAGCCACAGCATCTTCACTATCCGACTCATTCGGCTCGAGAAGGGAGCTAAGCCGGAGGTCACCGCAATAAACGAGTGAGTGTTGATTGATACAGGGAAAAATGTTCAATGAAGGTGAGGGTAGCAATGATGAAAAATTACATTGCATTGCAAATAAGCATTCTTGCTGCAATTGTTTTCTAGGTTACATTCGTCCCTTAAAGGGTCCAGTTTTTTTTGTGTATTTAGCAATTTTGTAATAATAAAAAACTAATAATTTAAGCCCTTTATAAGTCCACTGCTGTATGACGGCCTCCCATGTGTTCTTGGTAATGAGGGTTGTTTTACTAAAAAATTATTGTCAATGCAATTTGGTCAAGGGGGGAGGGGGCACTTGCCCCTGATGTTATAGCCATACCTGGGTCGTTGAGTTCTTGGAGGATGTCCTCTCGGAGGCATCCCATTCTTGGCTGTCACTCCCATCATTATTCCTGACCATCGACCGTCATCCGTTAAAGCGATGCGTCTTTCCCAAGCTCACCTTCTGTTCTAAACAGTTTGTTACGTATTTAGCCTGTGTTCCCCGTATGCATGTGTTCACTCTCTCTGTCTCTGGATGTAAATGTACACTTTACCTTCGTATAAAAAAGTGACGTTGGCATGCTAACGGCGGGCATGAAATGCCGCAGGTTCTCGATCTGCGATCTGGCTGGCTCGGAGCGGTCAAGCCGCACGCATAACGTGGCCGACCGGCTGCAGGAGGCGTGCAACATCAACACGTCGCTGCTCGCGCTCGGCAAGTGCATCACGGCGTTGCGCTTCAACCAACAGGCCAACAGGTGAGCTCTGCACACGCCCCACGTCTAATAAAGTTGCTGTGGGTTGTGTGCTTATTTTATTTGTATGTGTATCTATCTTTGTCCGTTGAACTCCTGAAGACTGCTTCACCAGTTTCAATGAATACGGGTTTATTTGTGATAATAAAATGAAATTTATCAGAGGCAGTGCAGCACATTGAGACTTTATTTTGTTATTAAAAACTACTAATATGCATTTCATATTGTGGTTCCTAGCTGCAGATTGGTATTCCACCAAAACGAAATACAATGGTTTCCCAATGATAGTATTGTGCCATTGGTGTTATTTACGAGACAATGACATTCCTATTCAGAACTCTGTCAGGAAACAGTGCATCACCTGATGACTTTCGTAACAAATCTGTAGTCTAAAGTTGCATTGCTATTAGGTGATAAAATAGCAGAACAAAAATAAAATGTACAAATTAGTGCATTTTTCTTTTTGGCTTCCATACTGCTAATTACTTCCGAAGATAAACATGTTGACAAGCGTTACATAATCCATGTGTGTGCACGATTTGTTTCTTAACAATCGAAACTTACAATTTGTGTTGAACAAATTTTTTGTCGAACAGAGAGATACACAGATGCACAGACTAATGCCGTGCATGTTGCGTGCATTGTGCGAACGCAGGCTGAACAGCCGTGTGGTGCCGTTCAGGGAGAGCAAACTTACACGGCTCTTCCAAGTCTACTTCTTGGGCAGGGGCAAAACATGCATGGTGGTCAACATCAACCCCAGCACCTCCTGGTACACGGAGAACCTCAACGTGCTGCGCTTTTCCGCAATCGCAAAACAGGTGAAGTCGCACCGCGGCTTGCACACGCATGCACACTTATGAGCACGCATGCACACGGTTGTACACGCCCGCACGCGTACACGCACACATACAGGCACGCACGCATAGACATAGGCACGTGCGTGCCCATATACAGACACAAGTGCATGCAGATAATTACACGCATGCGTTCGCACATGTGCCCACATTCACTCACTTACAGACACAACATTCTGAATTTTTTTTTATTGGATTAATTCCTTGATCATTATTAATGCAGTTGCTTTTGTACTATATCGTATTCTGTGGCAAAAATGTATATTCATGGTACTTTGGATAGTTTTTACACTCATACAGTGTTGTTGTTTATCATTAATTTATTGTCAATTTATTGATAATGTTTAATGGTCATTGCTTAATGTTTCTGTCGATATCAGATGTGCAATGTTAGATGTTTCAACGATTTGTTTGCATGTTAATTGTTTTGTGACCCAAGTCTTCCTTGGAAAAATGATGTATATTACTCATGCGAATAATATATGTATTATGTGCAGTGGCATCTGTAGATCATGACAAAGCTCAGGTGCAGCTGGCACCCAAACATTTTTGTCTCGTTGGCCTCGCACCTGGTGTAGACGGAAGATAATGACGAAACTTGATGTGTTTCCATCGGAAACAGCTGTGACCTCCTCCATATCCGTATCCCAACTAAAAGCAATATCCATCTCATTAGGATGCAGTGTGACGAATTGCTGGCTGACCTGAATTCCTTGCTGGTTCCTGAATTTAACATGTGATTTATTTACCCCGGAAAGCCTCCCGAGTCTCAATTCTCTTTTTTTGTCAAAAGGGCCCTGCTTTGGGATGTTTGGCTTATTATTTTTGAAGGATCATTATGTGTGCAACCTGGAAGAATTTGGAGATTACCCACCTCGCACATAAAAGGCTAACGATTAAAATTCCACGTGTATGTTTTTTCACGAACCCACTGGCTATTCTAGATTTGAGCTTTCGTGACTGCAAGGATTCATACTCTTAGGTTTTTTCGGTAAAGTCACGTAGGTAAAAATGAATAATAAAAATAATAGAAATAATAATAGAAATATTTTTCCAGCTCCTGGCCAGCAAGATTAGGGATTTCACAATCTGCGTGCAAACCACAAACCGTCTGCTTCAAGCGCCGGATGACACAGGTGTACAACAGCTATAACAACCCAGTGGGCGTCAATTTGGTGCAGGAAGGCATTAACGGCCTTCAATTAACATCCCGCTTGTTCCTGTGGTGTGAATTTACTCTCTCATTCCCTCCCGCAGGTGCTGACGCACTTTCCGGATCGTCTGGGGAAACGCACACAAGCCGATTGCTCCAGTATGATCATTTCAGCCGATGGCGTTGTCCCCGAGAAGCGGGTCAGGGCGGGCGCCAATAGCACGGCGTCAGTTGCGTGCGCTCGTGCCACCATTGCCAAACTAGTGGCGGCCGCCAGTGCCGCCACCGCTAAAGCGGCCGTGAAGCCCATCCAGGAGGCTGGCGGCGAGGGAGAAGGAATCGACGGCGACATCGATGAAAACTGCAGTGAAGTCGATTTGGATGAGAATGTACGTTGACAACACTCATCACGTTGAAGATTTTATATAAGCGATTTGTAGAAAATTATAACAATTAGGAATGTTTAACCCACCCTCTGTCCGACCATTGGATGAATTTTCGTTATTCGCTTGGAGCGTGCACGGTGTTCGCTCGCTTCCGAAGAGAGGGAATGACTTGCAGGCGTGAGTAACTGCTGATCGGGTGGCGAGTCGGTGCCAGATTCACCCCCCAGACTATGTGCTCCTATATTTGAAGGTGTCATCGGCCAATTAACGTTGCTGTACATGTCGGAGGAAACCAGAGCACCTGGACAAAACTCACACGAGTGAATGGGAAATGCACTTGTGCAGATGGAATAGATGGATATTAGTCATCACTTGTTGCACTGCCATCTCCTGGCAAGCCAGGGTATGCCAACCTCGACACTCACGGGAAGGGAGTTTCACAACATTTGTGTGATCCATCAACCCTCGCCTCCACGGTGGTGGATTACAGGCGTGCCCTGCCATAGGTTGTTAGTATTTTGTAATGTTTTCACTTTTCTTGATATTATAATATATGTCTGTGTACATGGTGAATTCTTAACCATCATTCTAGATTTGAAGCTTAACCATCAGCCAATAGCCTGTCTCTAGAGTAGAGAGATATCGACTGACTCGCATTTGTAGATCTCATTGTACACTGTTGTGCCCTATTTTGAACAAGAACATTTGATGCAAACACTTTTCAATAAATGAGATGGGTACAATATTTTCCATTAACAGCTATTGAGCAGCAAACACACCCTTAGACACCATGTCATGTATATCACATGACATCCCCACACTGTTTTATATGTCCGTCTAAAAATCATTCAATTATATACATATTTTAGTCGACATCAGTATGAGAATGGCACTACAGCATACCGGTTTCTTCCATGTTTGGAATCATTACAGTCGAGCCGTCAAACAAAAAACAGAAAAAAATACACGCGCTAACACCGTGACAACTTAACTCCGTCGACCGCTGGTGAGAGTGAGGCATCACACAAGGCGGGAGATGCGTACAGTACATCCCGACAGCGTCCCAACATACAGTATCGTACCTCGTACGCTGCTGCGTACGAGGTACCTACGTGACTTTACCGAAAAAAACCTAAGAATATACCTGTATATGTGTTTTCTTACCGTGGCAGGATCGGGAGATGGAGGTGGAGCGGCTGAAAGAAGAGTTGAAGAAGGAACGTGAGGACAGGAAACTGGACGAGTGGAGGATTCGTGGGGAGATCTCCGGTCACCTCCAGTACCTGGCCAACCTGGATGAACAACAGAGGTTTGCTCTTAATAGGCATGCGACGATACGTTTACTCCTCGCCCAAGAGATGTGATAAATTATCACCACTTTGGGTTGACTATGAGACCATTTTTTTGCCTTGTATGCTCGGTGTAATTTTTTTCCAAAGCAAATATTTAGCAGATATGTTGCACAAATCATAAACAATTGATCCATCCAGGCATCTTTATGAGTTGCATTGAATTTTTTTCATTTTTCAAACCCAGAAAGTCACACTTGCACGTACAGTGTAAGTGGCTGCGAAAACCTCTGCTGAATCACTCCATTGTCACAAGCCTAGCCGCAAAAGCTTCCCAAAATCAACAGGAATTAGGGACGTTTGACTCCGCCAACCCTTGCGTTTACGCGTGCGTGCACTGGCAGGAAGAACGACGAGCGCACGCATGAGCACATGGAGGATATCTGGGAGCGGCGGATCAAGCTGCTGGAGGAGAAGTGGAAGCAGTTCCACGAGAGGGAGATGCGCGAACTGCAGGAGACGTTCGAGGCTGACAAGGACCTGGTGCCGATAGAGCGGCTGGAGGCCGAGACGGAGAAGCTGAGGGTGAGCACATTGGAGCAGGCAATGGCGACGACCGTCTTTCTGCCGTGAGGGGATGCTCGCCGAACTTTCCTCAGAGAGGCTTTCAGCGAGGGGTCGGATAAACGAGTTTAATCTTATGCCTCGTAGTCGTCATCGCGTGCTTTAATCTGTCTACGGCTGGATGAAGGTTGCTTTCTGGTGGACGTTCCCTCCATTGACTTCCGCTCTGTCATTGGTCTCGATCACCCAGAACATCGTACGTCTGAGCGTCGTGTCTTGTCCAAGCCCACTTACATTTCCTCTTAACTAATTTCTTTAGAAGTGCTTTTTGTGTTTGTTATCCTTCTCCCACCTCTGACTAGCATGGTTGGCTATGTATGGTGTGAAAGAAGTTCAGCGTACATACACATACACACACGTTGTTGATTACCTTGACGCGGTGGCGCTGCTCAGCCCTCGTCTGCTCCCTCAGTGGGGCGACCGGCATGCGCGCTCGTGTGGTGTCATGACGTCACAACGTTTCTTATCTGTCATTTGACTTGCTTTCATCTCACTAAACCTTATATCTTGTCTACATCTCTCTCATATCTGTTTCTTGTTTGTCTCCCTTTCATCTCACTACTCTACATCTCTTGGCGGGTTTTTTTAAAGTATGATGTGGCACGTAGGCCACAAGTTTAAGGACCTCTGCTGTAGATGGTTCTTCAGCTGTCAAAGAATCTCCTTCAATCAAATGAGGATTTCCTGTATCTTCACAATCCATAGATTCCAAGCCACCCCATTCACATGGCCAGCCCTTCTTGCCCCGTGACTCAATATCAAACCCACGCGCCTCTCACCCTTCACCCTTCACCTCGGCACTGCAGGAGAAGGCGGAGCTCGCCGAGCAGCAGGCGAAGCGAATCCTAGAGCTGGAGGGGACCCTGGCGGGCCTACAGCGGGACGTGAGGGCCCTGCGGGAGGCGGGCGAGGAATCGCGCCGCCAGCTGGAGCTGCTGCCCGATTCTCCGGTGGGGTGTAACATTAGTGCTACTCTGTTCTCCTGATTATAAGATTATGCGGCTTCTTGATGATATGAATTTTGTATTGTGTATAATTGGGCATGCTTGCCTCGCCCGCACACGCTCGCGCCGGTGTTGAAGGCACAGACAATGGACCTTGGGATACTGAAAGAGGCCAACCGTGAGCTCAAGGTGACCCTGGAGGAGGCCGAGGAGACCTTTGAAAAGAACCGCAAGGAGATTAAGAGTTTGAAGCAGCGCAGCGGGAAGCTAGAAGAGGAGCTTTCCACAAAGGTAGAGGGAGCAAGGCTCTGCCGCTCTCCATTGTGTTTTCCATCATTTGTACAGATCACTCCATTATCTGCGGGTGGATTATCCAGGCTGTGGATTTTTCTGTTTTTCTATTAATATTTTTACATTAGCTGCTTCTCATGCATTGGATAAAATTCCTTGTGCTGAATTGTGACGGTTTGGTTTTCCCATTGTCCTCACCCCCTGACCCAGGACCTTCTGATCGAGGAGCTGCGCGTGTCACTGGCCAGCAGGGACAAGCAGCTGAGCTGCAAGCTCTCCGAGCTAGTGTCGTTGAAGGCCACCACGGAGCAGCTGAGGGGTGAGCTCACGCGAGCCATGAAACGCTCATCCAACTTCATGCAAGGCCTTGCCTCAGAATGCTCACAGCCACCAGCTAAGAGAGGTAACACGGCGGCTAGCGGAGGCACTGCCGCGTCGCTCGCCAAGGCGACATCACTGGCCATCGGCCCGGCGGCGAAAGGGTCGGCGTTGATGGCGCCGACGGCGCCGACTGCGAAGATGCCTCGCAGCCTGGTTCGGTTGCGTTCTCAGGCAGCGCATGCGATCACGGACAATGCGTACGCCCGTATCCTGCGATCGCGCACAAGGAAGAACGCTGACGGCACAACGGCACGACCAAATTGGGTGTGAACGCACCATCTGGCTGCTGCTGCGGCAGATCCTGCCCGCTGCCGCCACCGCCGCCATTGCTGCTGGTGGTTATGTGGCTGTGCTTTGCGAATCGTTTGATCGTTTGGGTCGAGGCACTTTCACCAATAGAATTGAATTGCTGCTGGTCTTCAGTGGAGTCTTTAACTTATTTCATTTTTGTGCCCGTTCCGATTTAACCCGATTTGTGCTGTCAAATTCGTTCAGAGGTGTTCACAGCAGCACACAAACCCATGTCAGAGAACAGCCCACGAAAGGAGATCTCACGGAAAATTTCACAGAACGACTGAGATTCCTTCGAATGAACTCTTTTATTCACAGCACAGGGATGCTGCACCATCCCATATGCCCTGCGAAATATACATTTGTCATATTTCAGTCAAACCAATATTTAGAATTCTCTGAGAATTGAAATTAATTTTATTATTTAGTTTTCTTTTTGTTGTGCAATCATCGGTGACCATGCTGGAACATTCAACTCACCTTGTTTTAATCACAGACAGTTGAGACCTGGATTCGAACCCTGGGTGGTTAAGGAGAGTTTTACAGTTGCTGACCTTGAGTTGTTTTGTGCTATCTTGCCATCACGGTGTGGATAGGACGGATAGTTAGAGATTATTCATTCCAGGCTGATGTTATTAGGCAATTTTTTTGCGTGCACAGTGTGAAATGCCGTGTTAGCATCGTAACGATTCTACAGTCATTTGATCCGTTGTTAGAATTTGGGGTCATGATTTTATTTCAATACTCGCTTTATTTTCAGTAAAAAAAAGAGGTTTGCTCTGTTAGCCTCAGCGTATTACTTAAAATATCACAATCGATTTCTACACGCTCACTTTGATGCCTGCTTCGTGTGCGTATAATCATTCAATTTTATAATATTGTTACATGCCTCGTGTGTATAATGTCTTAAGCTATAAAATGCGCAGAGCATTGTATTATTTAGTGTTGCTATATTGTTAGTAGAATTTCACAGATGGAAACAAAATTGCGTTTTAAGCCGGGTCAGTGTTGTTAACCAATTTGGGGTTATTTTATGCCAAAGGAATACTGTTACACTAATACAACCTGGCTTTTCATCCTGGGCTTGCATCTGGGAATGGTGCTTTGAATATTACTCGGATGAGCAGCACTGTATACGACCGTGATGACGTGAGGGGGGTATTACAAGGTGCACGGGAATTCCTTAGAATACCAGCTCACATGATGTGTAGCATCTTGCAGCCATAAGAATATTTTTTGTGCTGCAGGCAGTAGTCTGCGAAAATAAAAACAGCTGTTATCTTTTAGTCACAAACCATCCCCCCCTTGCCCCGTTTGGTTGTGTGTCCTGGAGGCTGGCCAACATATGTTTGAAGCTTTGATAATGAGAAATAGTGACTTTCAGGAGCATCATCCTCACATTGTGATGACATTCAATGCATTGACTAAGTGATCTCTACCAGAGTGATGTTACAGGTATTGGATTTTTCAATCTATGATTTTAATGGGAATGCCAATTTATTTGATTACACATTTTTAAACTGACAGGCGGAATAACAATGTATACGTCCCTCCCAAAAATGACCTGGCTCGTGATCAGGGTAACAATTTAAACAATTTGTTTGGTTGAATAAATGCATTAGGCTGCAGTGAATACGCTACAATCGGTACATTTATTCCGATCAGTTATAACCAGGATGCTATTGTCAATCCAATGCATGGATCACAGAAGACAATGGCAACTTTTTTTCCCTTAAGGATACTTCATACTGATTTGGAAAATGATTAGGTTAGTTAACTTATACGCACATTGATTTGCATAGGCTCAGTTATTTCTCTTATTAACAAAAAGCTCGTGGCATCGCATGCCCTATAATGATGATGTACTTGTCCATAACCTAAAAAAAAGTATTTAATTCATGGAAGCTTCAAACCAGTTTTAGAAAGTCTGAGACACAACTGCCAAAGTACTTATCTATAAGATAAAGGTTGTTTGTTCTTTGGTTTGCCCCTTTCATTTGAGTCCTTTATCAAGGTCCTAACAGTATACAACTCACGCCTTGATCCAAGTAAGAGGCGTCTTGATGTTTTCCTGAACGGCAGCCAGGCAATCACCCTTCTGCCTGCTAATGCAGACATTGTGTGTCTTAATGTTCCAGATTCACTCTTAAATTTTTACTTAATACTTTCGCGACTGCAGGAATTCATATTCTTTGGTTCTTTCGGTAAAGTCACGTAGATAGATCGAAAAAAATAACAAGTCGTATTTTTTTTTATTTTTTATTTTTTTTATCTTTTCTATCTACGTGACTTTACCGAAAGAACCAAATAATAAGATTCACTCTTAGTTTTTGCAAAAGCCCTGCCCTTACCATCACTCCTGTAGCAAACCAAACATCTATTTAGGTTTGTATTCATCCCTGGTGGGTTGTATGATTGGTTGGATGGTAGGATGGTTTGGTTGGTCTTGTGGCTGGCTGGTTGGTTGGTGGTTGTTTAGTTTTTTTATGATTTGCTTGGTTTCTTGTATGGGTTGGTTGTATGTTTATGGTTGTTGTATGGTTGATTGGTGTTTTTTTTTATTGTACAATTAATCGTATGGCTGGTTGATTGCATGGTTGGTTATTTCATGGAGGGTAGGGCAATTTTGGAAATTTAGCATTACAAAAGTTATCGTAAAAAAAAATCAAAATGGCGCACCACCTTCACTTCAACTTTTATACCGCTTTTCGCTTTTTGTGTATATTTGAATAAACATTAAAGTCTGGTGCTTGGTAGACAAAATTTCGTGTGGATTTTGTCAGTGCACTCTATTTTTAGAAGTTGCTGCCAAGCATTAGGTGAGCGACACTTTGTAGGCATATAACGTTTCATTCCCTCTTGCACTTGGGCGAAATATCCCGATTTGGAGGGGGTAACAATTCGATTAAAGAATTAATGAACATTGTCAATGTAACGGTCTATCGTGTATTCAGAGGTCATTACGTACAAAATATACAGATTGAAAATACAATTCTTACATGAACAATTTGATATGTGTGCTGTGAGCCTAAGAATCTATCTAAATTAATGAATCGGTGTATCAGGTTGACGTGCAGTATTGGGGAGATATATCCGTAGACGAACTTATGTTTTCCCATTTTTGCTGGCCCTCCACTATTTGGCATTAAAGCCTGACTTTTATTTGTAAAAAAAAAATGCATCTTCATTTCTCAAACGCAACATTGACTTGGACTGCCATTTCTGCCCATGTCTCTGCGTAGGGCCAGCATTTGGGAAAACACAAGCGCAGGCCACGCCGTCGAAACCCCAGTGGCAGGGAGATCTTTCCACGAACCGCACACACATCCCAAAATCCCTCCCGGCGATCCGCCCGCTCGCCCAGCGCTCTCACGGAAATCGGCACCAATGTGGGAGTGCCTTGGAAAATACCCAAAACGTCAGTCCGCGGTTGGTGCAATTACTACACGAGGTTCAGCTACAGAGCGGCAACAAGAGAGGCGGAGCTCCGGGTTCCGAGCCTGCGGGCTGTGACGACGTTCGCCTGAGCGAAGCGCTTGGTGACGCGGAACGGGCACGCGCGGACCTGCGAGAGGCGTTGGAGAAAGCGTCTCGTCTGCGCGCTGAGAATTCGGAGCTGCTAGCGCGGTGCGGGCAACAGGAGGAGCACAAGCAGCGGCTGGAGAGCGACCTCGCCGCACTGAGAGAGACGCTGGGGGAGCGCGGCGGGGACGAGAGGCTCTCTGATGCCGAGGCGAAGACAAACCCTGCCGGCGCCCGGGTGAGCCAAGAGCTGCACCGCACCAAGCGCGAGCTACTGGAGGTGATGCGTACCCTGTCGAGCAAGAACAAGGAGCTGGACGCGGCGCAAGCCAACCTGGAGGAGGTTGGCGTCCTCAAAGCACAGAACGGGCAGCTGGCGGCCGAGTGCGCGCTGCAGGCGGCCACTCTGTGCGAGCAGGCGCAGGCGCTGGTTGTGTTGGACCGCAGGCTGGAGGGGAGCTGCGCCGAGCTGCGCGAGAAGGCGGCGACTCTGAGCGCCACCGAGGGCGCCGTTGCTGGTTTGCAGGCCGAGCTGGCGGAGTCGCGGCGGGAGCTGCGCGAGGAGAGGGACCGGCTGGAGGTAGCACGTGACGCGGCTGAGCGGGAGGCGTCGTCGAGGAGGGACCTCGCGGAGGTCAAGGCAGAGCTCGCCAACCTCCTCGCGCAACTCGGAGAAGCCAGACGGGAGGCGGCGGAGAAAATCGCCGAGCTGGAAGAGGCGCGGGTGCGGCTCGCAGAACTGGGGCAGCTCAAGACCCAGAACGAGGAACTCTTTAACAAGTCGATGCATCAAGCGGACACCCTCAAGGAGGTTACGGAAGACTGCGAGAACCTTAGGAAGGAGCTTGAGCAATGCCTCAAGGTGCTGCGAGACAAGAGAGGGGAGGCCGATGAGAGGACGGAGGATAATGACTTGAAGGCGGCACAGACGAAGGCTGGGGTTGAACTGGAGGAGACCAGGAGTAAGTTGACTGAGACAAGGCAGGAGCTGGAGAGAGCAACCAGGAAGTATGAAGAGGCCCAGAAAGAACTGGCCGATGTGAGGGCGCGTGTCAACAGCGGCTCCGGCGCCGGAAACTTCCACCGCACGATGGCAGCACTGGAAGAGCGGTGTGAGCGGATGGCTGGTCAGTCCGACGAGTCGGAGAGCGGTGTGGGGACGCCGCGGGCCGAGGCGCCCGAGCGGGAGGTCAAGCGTCTGCGGGAGCTGCTCGCCGAGCACGAGACGGCGAGCGCCGAGGCGAAGGCTCGTGAGAGCCGGCTGCGGCGTGAGGCGCGCATGGCACAGGACGCGCTCAAGGCCGCAAACCGCCTCATGGGCGAGTGGGAGGCGAAGCTGGCCGAGTCGAAGGCGAATGTGGCGACGGCGAGCGGGCAGGACGGGGCCGACCGCCGGTGCGAGCCAGAGCGAACGCTGGCGGAGAAGGAGGAGCCGGAGTCGGTGGCGCTGGCCGAGATCGTGGCACTCGAGCGAGGTGCAGCCGAGAAGGAGTCTGAGGGTCAAGTGCGCGCCGTCCCGGCGGGGGAGGAAGCGTCGGCGCCAGTTGCGGGGACCGACGGTCGATACCGCGAGCTGATCGGCGCGTCTGAAGCTACCCGGGCGGCGGACGTGGAGCGCTTGGAGGCGACCGTGGCCGAACTCACAGTGGAGAAAGAGAAGTTGTCCTTCGACCTGTCTGCCCTGAGGGAGGCGAACGGCGTCCTGTGCCAGGAGCTGCAGGTGTGCGAAGAAACGATGAGGACACTGGAGAGCCGGCTGGGCGCGGAGGAGACGGCGGAGAGGCGGGCGGAGCGTGCACGCGCCGAGAAGGCTGAGCTGGAGGAGGAGCTTGCGAGGTTTGTACGCGCCGTGCCGCCTACACGGAGATTTAGGTTACTGGCTTCACGTCATGAGACGAAGTATCCATTTGGATGTCTTGCAGAGCAGTAACAACCATATGTTAATAGCCCAAGGAAGCGGATATCATATAACTCTGAGATCTCTTTAAGCGACTTCTGGTCCACACACTTGAGCGCAAGTAGTTCCCAATCATTCTGCATAACAATAAAGTGAATATTTAAATTCTTTTTAGCAAAATTCAGTGCAGAACCATATTTAGTGTGGTGGCTTTTGTGTGCAGCCATTGTTGATTGGGCTGTGTTGATCAACTCATTACACCTGAGTACCCGGTTTAATCACAGCTCAGTCTATGTGAGTCCGGGTCTTTATCTTATAATAGCACCATTTCCCAGGGTGCTTTACAGCGATAATAATTTTACGTAATATAGTGGTTTGAGATGAAGAATGGGGTGACTAAAAGTAGTGGTGTAATTTTAGTAACAATAGCACAGGTGTGAGTGTTAAGGAGGGGTTTTTGTCGGCCTGATCTTAGCTTGGGGGCGACAGAAATCTGGGGGCCAGGAAAGTGTTGAGGCATCGCATTGGGAAGACTGGGTTTCTCCAAGTCGATGGGTGTATGTTCAAGTTATCAGAACCCAGGGCTGAGACCATCAACCCACTACACTTGGTTTAATCTTAGGCAGTTGGCTGATACTTGGATTTGAAGCCAGGATTTAATCAGAGGCTCCCCTTAAGGGATTTGACTTTCAGCTCGTGTGTATTTTTCCTCTCGATTGCCGACTGCTGCTACCCCTTGGCAGCGTGCGTGCCAAACTGCGTGGGGCAGCGGAGGAAAGCGACGATCTCCGGGAGAAGCTTTCGGACGTGCGGAGGCAGATGCAGCACGTCGAGAAGGAGGTAACGGCTTGGGCAAAATTTGGTACCGCCTAAGGGTGGCAAATATTTAGTGATGCCAGTTTCCGTATGTGTCAAATTTAAGTGGGCAATGTGAGAACGTGCTGACTATAACTAGATTATTGCATTATTGACATTCATTTGCGATTTTTAAAGATGTTGATACAACTCGCGTGTTGCCATCTCAGGTTGTACCACCAATTAATATATTTGGATCTCGTCCATGGACTGAAGTCCACAGATATTTCACCTGAACCGCAAAGTGCAAGATTCAATGAATTGTTCGAATTCTGAGTCCACACACAAGGGGGCAGCGCTTTTCACCCACCCTGCCACCGAGAGTAATGTTCATCGCATGACGGTCAAACCGATATTGTTAATTTCGAGAGCCAGAATTTAGCCAAAAAAGCACAGAATCAAATGTAATGTGATGGTTTTTTTTTTTAGTAGTGTGCAGTCCTAGTTGACCGGGCTGAGAAGCATCGGCTCGCTACGCGGTTTCAATCACAGGCGGCTCCAGAATTGTCAGTGGTGCCAAGTAGTGCTCCAACTTCTGTGCCACCTGGCCACCTTCCAGAGCACTCTCACACCCGCGCAATGGCACACCCACACACTCTCTCGCACACCTGCACGCCCACACACGTTCACATCGGCGCCGTCACGCATGTCCGCTGTAACCTCCATGCCGCGTGTACAGATGGAGATGGCCCGTGCGGAGAAGGAGCGATCCGCCCGCCTGGAACAGGAGCTTGAGAAGGTGCGCGCACAGGGGGCGCAGTGCATGGCCGGCAGGGATCGGCAGCTGCAGGTGCTGCGCCGGGTAAGCGGTGCCAGGCTAGGTTCACGTCAGGGGTGCTAGATGCCATTAAATTGATAAAAATATTTAAATGATGTCAATCCACGTCCTATAGCGTTGATTCGGGTTCGTGTTTTGTGCTGCCCCCCCCACCCCCCCTTGAATACCATGGAAATGCATGGCCAGTGCTAGTCAGTAAAAACATGAACATTCAGAGAAAATGCTTTTACTTATTTTCATCTGTCTGTAAATAACTATGAACAGAGCAGCAGAGGTATCGAGTCATTGGCCGTGTAAATAAAATCGGCCTAAAGTTTTACGAGCTTAGGCGATGCCGATTTCAACTTTGGCCAACGTCCTGACAAAGCACGCGGGTCATGTCGCGTGCGTGCGCACTGCAAGCCACGTGCTCTAGGTGGCGATGGAGGCTGCACAGTTTTTACAGGGTTGCTGTCACCATTTAGCACGTAAACACATTTATTGTTTAAGAATTAGCCAAAGTTTAAATGTATAAACTCCAAACGATGAACATCCCTCGTTTACATCCATGCCAGGGTACATTGTGCCCGGATGATTACAACCCAGACTCTGCATGTATCTCTAGGCCAGGAATATGAAATGGTATTTGATATTAAACTAGATGTGCACACCATTGTATGGGATCCAGTACATGTGGGACCAGACTATGTACCTACTTGGGTATTTGGAACCAGGCATGGTACAGGGAATTGTATTATTGAATATGCCAGGTTATGTGTCTTTAGGCTGTAAACATGCCAGTATATGTGGTACCAGGCTAGGTGCACACCAGAATGTGGTGCCAGGCTAGGTACATGCCAGAATGTGTCTGGGGGCTGGGGACATACTAAGTACAAATCGGGGCATGGGTGCTGGGTAAGTGCATCTAGGCTGCATAGGTGCCAGGATAGGTGCTTCTGATAGGGTAAACAGCATGTTTTGTTGTCATCATGGCAGGAACTGCAGCAGGAGCGGGAGAAGAGCCCTTCTCCCCAAGCCGCCGCCACCGTCGCCGCCCGTGTCGAGAAACGCGACGACTCGGTGAGAACCCACGTGCCAGCAGCATTCGTGACCTTAGCGCCCTCACCACTCCCCTCCTCATTGCCAGCAATGCCACCAACTCCTCAAGGGAAAAAAAGTTGCCAAACCAATCTGAGAAGATCACACGTTAGAGTATTTGGCTGCCATGCATTTCCGCGTGATGATGAATGATGAGCCACTTCGTTGAGCTATCATTTGTGATAGCCAGGTCGCTTCTGAAAAAAGAATTATATAGCTCAGTGGGCCTTATCTGCTAAAATATATGAATAGTTAGTTTAGTTTAGATGTCAGTAGATCAGTGGGTTCACTCAAGCCTTTCATGAGAGGGGGGGGGGGGCCCTTGGGCTGCGGTGAGACGAACGTGAGTGTGCGATGTCAGCGGAGGCAGTGCGTTGCTGTTGACAAATCACACGCAGACGTCTCTCTTCCACCGCCACACCGGGAGGTGGGCTTTGCCGCTGCAGAAGCCGAGCCGTGCCGCCGACATTGCATGCGGTTCACGTGTTGAGGCGCGTGTTGGCGGTGCACGTGGGCGTGGGAACAGTTGGTCTTGATTGGGTATAGCCGTACCGAAAGGTGTTGAGAACCACCACTGTACTAGGTAGACCTAAATCTGTCAAAATGATCACAAGGCTATGTATAAACTACTTCGGCCTGTAATAATTGCCAGCCCTGTTGGAAATCCATCGCTGGGCGAAGGCCTCCACACGCCATGTCTTTTATGGTCGTTTTTAACCATACTTCACCACGCTGGCCAGTGCGGGTTGGTGATGGAGGGGTGGTGGATGTGGGGGGGGACCCAGTACTGGTTTGTATATATTGGTTAACCGTGGCTGGGAAATTTAACTCAGGTTGTCGTGTTCATGGCACAAGTGCTCGAACCGCTGCGCTGCCACTCTGCGTCCCGCCCCTCCCCCGCCCCGCTCCCTGGTGGGGGAGCAAAATAAACTCGATAACCCATGAAATCTCATTTTTTTTAAGTAGGTAGAGAAGGCAGATGTAAGTGGATGCAACAAATGGAACAAATGAATTATTGAGTTCATTGTGTGACCATCTATCACGAGTGGATTCCAGTGTTTTCGTAAGCCAGCATGAGTTATCCTGAGAATAGGAACAGTGTGGGTTTGCAAGTTTTCCAGGACGCACCTCAGTTGCCACGATTCGATCCGACACTCAATGTTTATGGCGTTATTACCGCCACCTTTGTATCCTCATTCATAAATGTAACATGAGCATATCACTCGCGCATAATTTGTACACGTAAATAATTGAATTTCACGTGCACGATTTGACGCGTCTATCGTGTGCATGAGGATCTGTTTAATGTCAGTCAGTGCATCATTATGCGGTTTAAATGGGTGCAAATCAGGTTTCTGTTAAAATGTCTCACAAATAATCAGAAGACATCAGTTTAAATATTCATAGAGATTAATGTTCATCCGCAACTATCAAGCAAATTGCATTTTTACGCATCGCCATAATGTTCCGCACGGCTTAGCGTCATCTTTGGCCACCACACATCTACATTCTAAGTGGCTAATCTGGATGTGGCTTCGAACAGTGGCGCAGCGATCAGCACACTGCGCTACGAACCCGGCGACCCGTGTTCGATTCCCAGCCACTGCTAGCGTCGGTCGCGAGTGACATCTGTACGTAGCTAGCGAAGTGGTTGGCTCACTGTGCTGTCTGTACCTGGCGATCTGAGTTGTGTTTCTGACCAGGACAAGAGTCGTATCAGCACTGATCCTAGGGTGCCTGATACCAACCATCGCCAAACGGCACTGACCAGCGTGTTGAAGTACAATAAAACAAACCAACACGGCGTTGGGGAGGCCTTCGTCATCCAGCAGTGGATTTCTAAAGCGCTGTGAATTTATGCGTCGTATATCATTGGTTTGCATGTCCCCCTGCAGCCACTAGGAGGCACCTCATTCGCTGGAATAAAAAAAAAATACCTTTTGATTCTGGAATCGGAATCGTGAGCGGGGCGAATCGTCACGTTACCCAGTCGATGGGGAAGCACGTGAGCCCGGCGATCCTATTATCGGCGCCACTGTCTATCTCCGCGGTGGATTATCCCCGTGGTGGAACCAACGACTGCTTCGCCGTTACTGCCGGAGGCGTTAATTTCCCCGAGCGAGTGCGGGGGAATGTTTATCGCCGGCCATGCTCAGCCGCTGCTGCTGCTGCTGCTGCTGAGTTTTTGTGGACAAAGCATCGTAAAAACAAACTGGAGACATGCAAGAACGGGAAATTGTTTTTCGCTCTTATCTGGATGCGCGGACAGATCGTGTTGACATTGTGTGGATTCTCTACAGCAGAACGGGGATGGGGGGAAGAGGAGTTTAATTCTGGACAGAATACTATGGAGAGCAGTGGTTCCCATCCTGGAGACAGGGGACCCCCACTGCATGATTGGCATGGAAGTTATTCGAGGCGTGATGCTGGTCTACGGGTCGAGAAAGATTGATCGATAGCACAGTGGAGCAAAGGATGAGTGGTTTACGGAAGCAGCAAAGCCCCACTGAGTCTCAACTAATATTTCAGGAGGGTCCTGCATGTGGATGTTGGCCCTGCTCTTGCTTAAACTAGTACTTTGGTTTGTGTGGGAGATGGCCGGGAGAAACACCACCGCATGTGCAAGGGGGATAACGCTCAAATCGTTGGACAAATGGATTCATTGACCCACTTGCTGTGCTGCCTCACGGCTCGTGCTGTTTGGAAGTCTCCTCATTCTCCACGTTCACCACCAATCTTTATCACCGTAGCACTGGATGACAGCGTGCGTGCGTGTGTGGGAATGTACATTGCATCTGCTTGGTCTGTTGTTTCGCGTTCAAGGCGTTATTTCTTTTTGTCGGTTTTCTTTGTCCAGCATTTTTTAAAATTTCTATATCTTGAACGCATGTTCATCTAATCGGAGAGTGGAAAACCAAATTAGTTTGGACAGTTAAATCAAATTGCCAGACAAGCAAAACGAGTTTCAAGGGCGCATGTGAGTGTTTGAAATTGAAATTATGTACACATTCTTTTTTATCAACAGCCAAATACAAATGTGCCGACGGTTCTCATTACCCATGCGGTATCTGTTAAAGCGCTGCGCAATTACATTTGCATGCACGAATTACGGCCCGGGGACGGGTACACAGAGACGCGCGGCTTCTCTAACCGTGCCGGGTACATCCACTGACTGCACTTGAGAGCCCGGTTCAGTTCACGGGTCCTGGATTGGAAGCCAAGATGTCCAGGGTGCAAGCTTTGTGCTCTTACCTCTGAGCCGCCTTTCCACCTTAAGCGGGCAGATATTTCCAACGAGCCTCCTTTGGGCTGCCGGTTGGAGTCGTCGAACTCGGTACGGAATTACCAACTGGGATGCCTGCGTCTTGTGCCAGGCACGTGCGTGCGTGCGTAGCCTTAACGTGCACATAGCTTGGCACAAGCGCCGTGGTGACGTCACCGGCACTTAGTGGCGAATGGCGGTTGTAGTTGTTGTGTGTGTGTGATGAGTGGTAAGGCATTGGTTTCGTTCACTGGAATATGAATGCCGCAACCTAGGTTCAATTACCAACCGTGACGCACGACATCATTGGCAAGCAATATCGGAATGTGTCACGGTCCTCCCTTAGGTCCACTCAGTCTTTTAATGAATATCTGGTGCAATGTGTTTGGGATGTACAATGGGGAAGACAAAGGTGGCTGGGTTCGGTGCTGGCCACACCACCCCATTGTGCACCGTGACAGCCTTCAAAGACTCGCCAACAGCACTCGCCGCTAACGTCTGTGTGACTAATATTTATATTTGTGTGTGCGTGTACGGAACGGTACTGCAGGGATTTATAGACCATGCTACGAACTCGGCGACCTGGGTTTGTTTATCGGTCGCCATGCGTGACGCCACCACTCCAGATAAGCTGTGTACCGGCCGTTTTACACATTAAAAACATGAATTGGGGATGACATTTAAAGTTACCGCGTACATAATAAGTCGACTTAATTTACTGCATTGCATGGGTTTTGCTTGGCGGGAAAGAAAACGGATTTATGTTGGGGCATTCGGTTATGTGCACTGCTAACTACACTCTGCTGACTTCCTTTATTTAGTTTTTATCGTAAGGCCACATTTCTGTATCGTGGTTTTCAGAGAAACATTGCGGTTGATGTGTGCGGCTCAAGCTCGGTGGTTCTCAGTTCTTTCTGAACCCGCGGGAATCTGTCAACCCTCGCGCTCTTGTCGCGGATCGCCCTGACGGGGCAGTGACCCCGGCGGCGGCGTAATCGCCCCTCGTCGCAGAGCATCACGGTCCGAATCCAGCGGTCCACCCTGGTTATTGCTTCGGGTGTGCTCGCCGTACACCAGGAGGTGCCGGCTGATTCGCGGCGGACGCTAAAGGGATCCCGTGACATCATTTGAAACCGAGGCAGGCCATTGCGTGCCAGCGTCATGGTCCCAAGTTAGTCAAATCTGAAAAATTACACTGCAAAATAACTCAACAGCAACCGTGGCCACCTATAGTGCAAACTTGAAAGGACCCGCCTGAAAAATAACCGTTAGACTCGGTGAGGCTTTCATGGGTAAACAGCTTAGCGATAAGAAATTAACGTGTTTAAATTTGTTTTAAACTACTCTAAATCGTAGTATTTGTAACAGTTCCGCAAACCGCTTTCCATGACCTTGCGGAACAGTTGTAGTCCACGGACCACACATTCTGGTTAAAGGAGGGTGGCGTTAGAGTTTAACGGCTCGGTAGCATTGCATCCGCAATCACGTGGCAAAACAAAAGCACCTAGCTTGCGGTGTCGCACAACAAATCTACTTGTAGCAGAGCTGCACCGTTTAACGTGACCTTTGCACGTGTGTGCGTGTGAGCATGTGTGTGTGCGTGTCAGCGTGTGTGCGTGTCAGCATGTGTGTGTGTGGGGAGCGATAGTTTTGTGGTTAGCGCACTGGTGCATTGTGTAAACGTCAGCACTGGGGGAGACAAAGGCGGCCAAGTGTGGTGCTGGCCACCCAGCCTCTCGTGTGTGCTATGCTGGCCTTAGTAGGTGCTCGCTAACGGCACTCATACCGATGGTCTGTTGTTAAAGGTTATACGGCTGGATCTTTATCTTTGTGTGTACCCCAACAGGAGCCGGTTGTGACACCGGTGGATAGTCGCTGGAAAGAAGCGCAGCGGGAACTGACGTCGCAGCTGAAGGAGGCCGAGTTTCGGCGCAACGTGGAGGTGAAGCGGTGGGCGGCGGAGCGCGAGAAGCTGCAGAAGCAAATCCAGGAGGTGGAGGTGAGGGTCCTGCCCCCTCGGACTCGGCACACGGACGCTCAAACCTGCGCGCAAAAATCTCTCAAGCTTTGCGCACTGTCATACGTGTGCAGCGCCAAGTATGAACAGTTGGAGGTGGAAAGATATCCAGTATGTGCGTTTTCACGGTTGTTCTTCCTTGTTTTTTTCCGGGATCGTCACGGTCTGCAGAGCAAGAAGGAGCAGGAGCTGCGCGCGTGGCGTGAGGAGCGCGACCTCCTCGCCACCGGCCTGGCCTCCGAGTTCGACTCCCTGCGCACGGCGCTCGCCGAGCGCGATGCAGAGATCAGCTGTCTGAACGCCGTCGTCGCGGCCAACGCTGCCGCCAAGGTGAGCGACCGGAGCACGAGGTCACATTTGGGGGCTCGCGCTTGTTAGGGCGACCGGCGTTAGGGCTCTGATGAATGAGAGTGATTGGGTAGTATGGTTGGCGAGAGAGCTAGAGTTAGGTCTGCAGGGATAGCATTTGCTAAAGGTTAGTGCTAAGGCTCGGGGTAAAGGCTAGTTATGATTTGGACTGTAAGGATGGTGCTAGGGATAGAGTTAAGACAGTAAGGCTAAGCGGTTTGTGCTATCAGTTTGGCGGTAGAGATAGCTATAGCTGTGGGGCTGGGTTCAGGATTAGGGTCGATGGTGGCCGAGCTATTGCTGTTGGGAGGCGTGAGGTTGGAGTCGGAGATAGTATCCGAGTGGTAGAGCTGGCGTCGGGGATGTCATCGCTGTGAGGCGTCGGCGCTGTCGAGGCCTAACCTCTCGCTGGGACGCAGGCGCCCGGCGAGACAGAGGGGAGCGCCGCGGAGCCGGAGGGAGCGCCGTGCCGCACCACGGAGTTGCCGCCTCGACGGACGAGCGCCGTCCGCAGGCGTCGCGAGGAGGAGGTGGAGGAGGGGGAGGAGGACAAGTCGCTAGAGTCACGGCGCGGACGCAACAGCAAGCAGCCGCGACTGGTGAGCACCAGCGCCGCGGGAGATACCGCACGACTTTATACCTGGATCGGACGGTGAAATGATGTGGGTCACTGATCATCAAAATTATTCTTTCCAATTCAATGAATTATTATTATCATCATCCATCAATCATCATTCTCATTGCTATCATCATCCATCAGTCAGCATCGACATGACCGTCAACATTTGTCATATATCATAATAATTATCAGTTATCTTTTCACTGTTTAATGGCTGTTAAAATGCAAATACAGGCCACTGGACATATGATCATCATGATCAGCGGGTGCAGCATTAGGAGCAGGATCAGCCGGTCTCGCAGCATTATGGTCACCACCTTGTTTGGCATGGCCAATGGACGAGATTGATGATGGAATGGCAGCCAAATGAACGCGAGTGGATTGTGGTATTGCAGGACGGTGAACGATGGCGATGGTGGGGGAGTGGGGGCTGGGGAGCCCTTAATACAGCAGATGATGATAATGGTGACGATTTTAGTCCAAACATAATTTTCACGTCCCGATGACAAGCATCGAGTTAACAAGCGCTAACGGGTTGTAACGGGCGCTAACGAGCTCGCCCCCGTCTCCACCGCGCCGTCTTCACTGCGCCGTCTCCACCGCCCCCCCCCCTGCAGGCGTGTCACGGTGACTGCAACACCGTGGTGCTCGACCGCTCGGACGTGTCGGTGGACGGGGGAGGCCACGTTCCACGCTTCCCGCCCTCTCAGCTCGCCATCCACCTCACCCCGCTCAAACAGCACCAGCTGCTGAAGTCGTCGGTGAGCGCCGGTGCTCCGGCCGCCCTTGTTTGTTTGCGCGAGAACCATGCACGCAATCGTTTCTTCCCCCGATGCTACAAACAAAACGGCCGGTACAGACGAAACGAATGGTACAAAATGAGACTTGAAAGAACGTGACTGTTGAGTCGTATCGCGGGAGGAGATGAGTGGGATGCCGTCATCAGTCAGCGATGCTTGTTTTCACCAGGACAAAGATATCGAGTACACGTTAGCCAAGGCCATCTCACAGAAAACCTGGCGGATAATTCGGAAATGCGCACGGAGGACATTTATACCGGGGCTGAAAATTCCCCATCTGCCTCCTTGCGAATCGCACACCCCCACCGTGCTTCAGTGCAAGACTACGCTGGCAGTCCCCAGTCCTCCTCCCGATGTCCTGCCACGCGTTTCAGCTAAGTGCTCGGGCGAGCTTTCCGTAAGCGGGCTCGCCGAAGCCTCCGTGGCGCAGGGCTACTTTGGCGTGCATGCAGATGAGTGGGGGCCAGACGACGGCATAGTGGCTTTCGCTGTCAACTTCGCTCACCGTCAAACGTGCTCGCGCGACGCAGCCCCCGCCACTCCGCACTCTCTCCGTCCCCAAAGCGGAATTTATAATTTTATATAATACAGTCCCCGCTGCACGTGGACGTTTTAATATTAGAACGGAAATGAGATGTCGCGTCTCATTTTGCGGAGGGGGTCCTGGCAGCGGCGGAGACCTGCAGACCCCGGGCTGATCAATGGCCATGAAGGAATGTGAAATAGCACTGCGAGCCTTGTCATATTTCCGCCTGCCGTGCTCCCCTTTTGTGCGTAACTTGCCGGGCGTGTAGATTGATCGACCGACATCGATTCTTACGTTTGGAGGCGGCCGGCTGGCTCAGAGGTCAAAGGTGCCACCGCTGAGGTCCTGGGATTCGAGTCTGGGTTTCAGCCGCCCGTTAATAAAACCGGGTTTGCAAGTTGGGGTGGGTGTCCCGGGGGGTTTGTAATGGCCGTGTCGGAGACACCGAGCCTGAGCTGCGGAGAACGTGGTGCCTTTTAGAATCGTGATTTCTGCCGCTCTTACGTTTGAGGCGAGCAAAACTTCCAAGATGGAAACACGAGGAACAAATTTAAACAGGAAATTGAATATGAGGTGAAAAGAATCGATTTTCGAATCCAATCGCGACCCGGGATTATGACCATTTAATTAATTGCCGGGTGGCCGAATCGGTATAAGCCTAACACAGCACGTGCATTGAATGACGTTCATATCAATTATTTGCAATACATGCATATATAATGTTAGTCTTACCTTCACGATACTGGAATAAACAAGACTCAATATAAACAAGACATGCGATGGACAATACAAACACGTTAGTCGGTCATTCACAACTGCTCTCTTGGTTAGATCGCGCAAGTACAAAGCCTCGTGATTATGGTTGCGACAACCGACTGTTCAATAAAACAACGATAGACGTTACGAACCACATGGAGAGTACAGACGAGACGGACAGCGCAGAAGAGACGCAACACAAAACTCTTGTCGAATCGAGTCCTTGGCCTCGAATTGTGACAATCGGTGGAGCACAGTGGTGGGGCAGAGGGGGAACACCATCCCAAACAGCCATGTGCACGTCTTCTTGTCGCAGGCCAAGGTTCCCTCTCGCCAGAAAGCCAGCGATGAGGGCCGGAGCGGCAGCCGGTTGATGAAGCTGAGGAGCAAAGCTCAGCTGAAGGGCAGCTGTGAGCAGGTGAGTGACACGCGGCGAGAGTGAAGCGGCCAACCTTGCAGGTCTAACGACAAGTTGCTGCTTGTGCTGCTGTCAGCCTCTACCTTCCGACTGCAGAAAAGAAAAGGCCTCCCACATTTTTTCCGCTCCTTCCTGTCTGTAGTCGTTCCGGTCCATCCATAGCCTCCCAACCCTCTTTACCAGCTCTTCCGCTGTTTTCCTCTGTGATATGTCTATGGGTCTCTGCGAATCTACGGGTCTATATTGATAATTGGGTCTATATGGATCTATGGGTCTCTGTGCGAGTCGGCCTGCAACGTCCCACTGCTCTGCGCACATGCCTTTCCCTCCCGTTTCTTTCCATATCCTTCCTTTCCTCAGTTGCTCCTCTCCAGTCATGGCCTCTGTACCTCGAGACGCCTTCTCGCCGCTGCCATCTCTTCGGCTGTCTTCCTCTGCCCACTGTCGGCCTCCACTCCGCTATTAACGATAAGCGATGGGAAGCAAATCACAGGGTCGCGGCTTAAGTCTCAGAATGCTGTGTATAAGCGCACCCTATATAAGTACAATTCTGATGTAAGAAACACATTTGTACGTTACACTGGTGGGGGGGGGGGAAGTCAAAGGTAAATTGCTGATACGAGCATGTGACTTTGTACGTGAGCGCAGCTGCCCTTGCTCCCAAGGGGAGTGCTCAAATCCGGCTTCTGCGGTGTCATGATTAGGCGAGCAACAATTAAGATCAACTCTTAGGCTCGCGACGCGTGCGTTGAATGTCGCGCGTTCAGAATGGAGCGTTACACTTTCGACTGAATGGAACGAAGGGGCAGAACAAGTCATGCAGATGAGACTGAATGTAGGCAACCCTTGGGTCGTGCGTGGAATTGAACGTGGAGGATGTGTCCGTTTACGGCGTGCGCTGAATTATCGATATGCTAATGTTACGTTTAGGGTAATTGACTCGACACGAGTGCACAAACAAGGCGGGTATAAACGGGAGACAATGCAAACAAGGTGGCAAGCCCCGGCCGATACAGGATTGATTCTCGAATGGATTTGCGGCCGTGCATCACGGCAATTTATCACACGGCCGGGGTGGCGCGAAATCATTACGTGCCTAGTTTGAAGCACATACATTAAGTCCTTGCTGTAAAATAATAACAATGCCCTTTATTGACCCAGGAGGCTCGTTTTTGGGGGGGTTCCTGCTAACGTTGGGATGTTTTCATCGATGTCGTGTTGTAGGCATGTTTGGTGTCACGTGAGAGGAGGCTGGAGAACCTGGAAAAACACTGCCATGCATGCACTCAAACCTCTAGAGAAGGAGTAAAAAAAACAAACACTTGCTGTACTGCTACCTACTTTAAACATCATAGCCCTGCTGATTTAGCAGTTAGCGAAGCCCTCATTCTGTAATTATACTTCATAAATTTATTAAGCGCGCTCATTTAAGATGACTCCGCATTCGTTAATGATTAATCCAATGTCACCCGTTGGGACTGAACCATCACGTTGCATCACGCCGGTGCTCTATCCCTGTTGCGTGCTCCCCTGCACAAGCTCGCTCACGCGATTTCTTCCGTGCGGCTGTGCAATAACGCACGCGCACCTGCGTCTCCTCTCAACCACGGCGATCGCACGCACAGAATCTCGTGTGTTCGTGATCTCTCTTTAGAAAAAGAAAAGAAGAGACCTTAAGCCATAACGTGCTCTCTCCGCCTCATTATAAATAAAAATGTTGTTCACTGAATGCGCAGGGTTTTTTTTCGCAGCCAATATTATGTTTCGTTAAGTCAGAATGAATTCCTGTTTTCTGTCCTGCTTAAGTTTTGGTTCTGAGAATCGTTAATCACTTTACCGGTGATGTGAGATGAAACAATCGAAATTGGCGTGTTGTTAAGACGATTGCCCACCACGTGACGGTGAAATTAGTTTGGCTGTGTCGGGTGGTGGAGGGTTACGCGACAAACACTAAAATGTACGGGCATGCATTACGTGGTCCGAACGCAAATCCCAATTACGAATTAAAATTTTTTAATTGATCGATGTCCACATGACAAGCCGCTTCGTTGAGCTATCATTTGTGATGGCCAGTTCGCTTCTGAAAAAGAGCTGTACATAGCTCAGTGGGCCTTACCTGGTAAAATAAATTTGTTTAGTTTTACCCACGTGATTCCCGCCCCATCCCCCCGAACCAGGATGGCGGCGCGTCGGGGGAGGCGGCGAGCGCCAGCACGAGGCTCGGAGCGGGGAAGGGTGGCGGGGACACCGGTGCGACGGGACCCATGCAGCGCATCGGAGACTTCCTGCAGAGCTCCCCCACGCGCCTCAAGAGCTGCGGTAACTGATCGCGGCCGCTGTGGCTGCTCTAGACGATGGGCAATGACAGTGGACGCTAACAAGGGCCGTAGGCAGCAGTGGGAACTAACTGTGACTCCGAACAGTGCCAATACTAACGTGTACTTGCAATGAATGCTCATAACAACTAACCCTCACGAGTGATGACTAACAATGAGAATGTATTCTGGCATTGACCGTGAACAGCAGCAGTGACTGCTAACAAGGGCTTCTCAAACAGCTGCGTCTGCTAACAGCAGTATCTTGGCATGCCGTATCATTAAGACACTACACATCATTGTACTGCAGCGGCCGTGACTTACTGACATCGCCTTGGAACAACTACAGTAATTAACAATTGTCACTCGCAGATAACTTGGCGGCAATGACTGCTGACAACGGCTTTGTGAGATGAAGGATGTTGTTTTGTGATGCTATGCAAACCCATATTTCCTTATAATTGTGTCGAACAACAAAAAGCAGTGACCGTGATGACCGACAGTCACTTGGACTGCTACCAACAATTCACAACAAAGTTCGTTTTGGGTTGGGTCGCGTAAATATAAATGTGTCGTTAACCCATCACCCGGCAGTAAGGTTTGTCACGTGAACAAATGATCTTACTGAAAAATCTTCACGATGAATAATATTGGTCGCGAAAGCCTACGTGTTAAACTGCTAACAACAAGGACGGCGAGTTTCCGGTGATGTTCGCCGGCAACTGCGTACGCTTGGCCCCTGCCGTGCTCGGGGCCTTTCCGGTGACGTCACTGCTGCCAGAGGAGAGCGCAGGGCGCCGTCGGTGCTGACGCCCGGCGCCTGCACCCACGCCGTGCCTCTCCTTTGTCTGCGCAGCCAAGCAGATCGCGAGCACCTTCAAGTCCGCGGAGGCGGTGAACGCCGCCGCCGCCGATGGTGCCAAGACGCCGCCGCCGCTCGGCAAGAGGAAGTGCAAGCGCAAGCTGCTGAAGCTGGAGATCTCCTCTCCCATGGACTTCTCGTCGCACACGGTGAGACGGGCCACCCTTGCCCCGCGCGTGCGCGTGTATGCCGCGTTGGTGGGGGGTGGTGGTGGAGCGGGGTTGGCGCACTGTGCTACGAATCTGGCAACCCGAGTACGATTTCTGCTCACGGCCAACACTCGTGGCGAATATATGAACGAGTCCCCTGGCCTCCCCTGGGATGCTTCAGAGCACCTGGCGCGGTGTGCACACATCGGCACTGGGGATACAAAGTCGGCCGAGCGCACCGTGACGGCCTTAATAGGTGCTCACTAACAGCACTCGGCCCAACAGTACGTTAAAGGCTACGTCGGGGATCTTTGTGTGCGTGCGCAGTTTGTGGACAACAAGCAGCAGAACGTGGAGAAGGAGAGCGACCACAGCACCATCATGCGGCAGCTGCGTAGGCGCAAGCAGTGACGGGGAGACGCGTCGCTGGCACTTCTCGCGCTCGAGTCTGGAGTAGGCCGTGAAGAGAAATGTATTATGGTCTCAACCTCACGAGTCGCATCCACCAGGGAACGATGCAAGCGGGTTTGTAATTGGTGAGCGGGGTGGCGATGGAACTGTTCGACGAGCCTAACGGCTCCTCGGGCTCACGACGACGTGAGCCCGCTTGTGTCATGTCAAGAATCGATTGTTTCTGATTTGTGTACACGATCGGCTCATGGAAACCCCCTGCAGCCGCGAAAGAGAAGAAAATCTATTGGCAAATTGAATAGGAGATGGTTAATCTAATCGTGGAGAGGGGCGAGTCGTTGCGTCCTTATTGACGAGAGGAGATTTGAGCTCTGACGTGATTAAGCACCGACTTGATTTAGTTCCTTAATGAACGACAGACCCAGCGGGGACCTCTCGCTGGGGAACAGAATAGTTGTTTTATGTGATTCAGCAGAAATGGCAGCACATGCCACTTTTGTGAATGAGCAGCATGTGCGTGAGTTTAAGAATAAAAGCGCGCATGACTTTTAGCGAGCGGCGAGGAACAATTTGAGCGAACGCCGATGGGGAAAGTTTTAAAGCGCGAGCCGAATGAAGGCAAAGTTGTTTTCATTTTCCACGAACAAAAAAGGTGAACTTGGAACGTTACGAGCGTGTCGAATTTACAACCGGCTCTTATCCTCCTCCTTCCTGAGTGTGTGACATGCGGAGAGTTTATGGCGCTGGGCCTCTTTCAGTTTTACTTATTGCCCGCACTCTGGTGCATGCGTTGTCTTGCCAACCGTGCATTACTTTCTGACAGGGCTTCGAGATAAGTTTCGAAGCCCAGGGTCAATGTTAGCGGCCGCCCGGGTTAGTGGTGTGGGTTAGATTGTGAGATTTGCTTAACGCTCCGGCTGTCCGAGTAGAGAGCTGGAGCCTCGGCCGCTGACGTTTGTCATCGTTACAGTCTGCATACAACAACAAACATTCAGCCATTCTCAAGTCACCAATGGACAAAGGCCTTTCCATGCCCTGGGGTTTCTATTTTTAAACATACTTCACCATGCTGGTCAGTGCAGGTTGGTGAAATAGGGGGGAGGATGGTGGGTTGCTGGCTTTGTGGCGCAGCGTGCTGCCAACAGCTATGCCGGCGTTGCACTTGCTCCGTCGCCCTTATGATTCGTAGTGTGTACAACCTTTTTTACGTCAAAGCAAAGAGGTCATTGGGGCCCGATGCCACTCAAAGCAGCCGCCACACATCATCATCATCATCGTCGCTTCTTTCCTGCTGTCACTTTGCTCGGCTAGAGCACAGACGCTGCATCCACCCCCACGCGCGGTCATCGATGTCGCTTTCTGATGGGAGGGAAGCACAGAGAATCGCCGGCGATGGCATGTTTGAAGCGCACGGGAGGGCGTTTATTGCTGAGCTTGTCGTGATTCTGGTGTCAGGGCTGCAGTGGTATTGCTTGTCGCTGTTTCCTGACGGCCGTGAGTATGAGGAGACGGGTTGGTGGGGGGGGGGGGTGCGCAGCTGACAGCGTGGCTTCATCGCGTGCAGGAGGTGTTGGCCTTTTGAAGTTTGATTTAGCAGGAAGAGCCTGGCGGTGGAATGTAGGCGGGTAACAATATACCTCTATTCATCAATTACATTTCCATTGCTGTGCTCGTAGGGATGTCCATCGAGGAGAGTGATGAAATCGGTTGGTGTGCAGGTGTCGTGTGGGTTTCTACGTGGCAGCATTGTGACAGGTGGATTGATGATGATGCATGTATCGAATCTCGTGTATGTGTGTGTGAGAATCGATTATATAAAAAAAAAATGTGGATATGTTTTATGTGATTGCGTCACCTGATTCGCCGCAGCTGCTGGAGGCCTCCGCATTAGCCAACATTTGTAATGCGATTGTCGAAGAGCCGAATCGTGAACCACAAATGGGGGACCACCAGGCTGGGAGGGGGCAGATTGGTCACGGTTCCACGCAGCAAACCTTTGACCTTGAGTCTGCTCATGCAGCATGCGTGCCCCACCTGCGTGCCCCACCTGCGACTGCACGCTGTGAACGTTCAAGGTAGATGGCGCCAGATTAATTTTTCTTTTTGGCAGCTGTCCCCGAGCCGAGCGAGCCACAAGACTCATAACCGTCTTAATACTTTCATTTCGATCACTTTGCCAGAAATATATATTTATGTATCTGTACCACTGCGTAGGGACGTGTTTTATCCATCTGCGCTCGTGCTGTTCAGCTCTCCGATATGGGTTTTTTTTCCCGGACGTGTCATCCGCGTGCTCTCCAGCTCCCTGGGGAACGTGCAACACACGGTAGCGATGTGGAAATGAACGGGAGACCTGTGCACACATGAATGCATGTCCACAAGTGTGTGTGCATTCAACACTAAACCGGTTTTCGCACTGGAATTGCCGCCTGCGCGGCGACGCGAGTTCACAGGGGAATTCCACTTTTGAGTTTTAATTTTATTTTCGCACGGTTTCACGTTTGACAAGCGGACAGCCATTTGGCGACGCTGCCGCACGCACACAAAGACCCCCCGTGTAGCCTTAACAGACTTGGTAAGTGCTTTTAGCGAGCACCTATGAAGGCCGGAACGGCATACGAGGGGGTGGGTGGCCAGCACCACGCCCGGCCGCCTTTGTCTTCCTAGTGGCAATGTTTTTATTTTGTCACTGCACCAGGTACTCAATTGAGACCGAGTCAACCTCGGGAAGGAGGCCCAGAACCGGTTCGGATAATCACCACTGGTGTTGGATGGTGATTTAGAGCAGGCTGAGAGGGGAGGTATGCGATCGTCTTTTTGTCTCGGTGATTCTACTCATCTCATTCCTTGATGCTGTGGTTATATATTTTGGTTTTGTACCCTTGGACTCGGCGTTCGCGACCGGAATTTTACGGGGAAAAAGAATTTGTGTGAATGGCAAAACACGCGGTTAGTTATACACCGGGAGCTGTTGTGTCGCTTGGTTCGTCTGACCTTCAGCAAATCTAAACCTTCAGCAAAATCTCGACGAATAAGAACGTATGCTTGTGTTTAAATGGAAATAATGATTCCGCTTTTATTAGCAACAGCAGTATTTTTCACACTTAATAAACACTTAAAAAAAAAAAACTGTCCCTTGTGTATGTGAACACGCGTTGTGGTGAGCGGGAGTGAAGTGGTTAGCACATTGCGCTACGAACCCAGCGGTCCTCGTTCAATATCTGAACCGGTCCTGGGCTTTCCCGAGGTCTATGCAGCTGTAAATGACTTCCTGTAGCGGTGTGTAAACGTGTGAACATTGGGGAGACGAAGGAGGAGGATGGGTGCGGTGTCACTCACCCATCTCCCCTTGTGCCGTGCAAAGTGCTCGCTCACAGCGCCCGTTCAGCCGCTCCTGCCTTGAGTTTGCGTGCGGGAGCGGTGGCGTAGTGGTCAGCGCACTGCGCTATGAACCCGGCGACCCGACTTCGATTCCTGCTCACGAACCAATAAACCAGTGCCGAATAAATTTCGATTTAAAGCTTTCGTGACTGCAGGGATTCATCTTCTTGGTTCTTACGGCAAAGTCACGTAGAAGGGAAATAATAAAATACAATTTTCACGACGTTTCGGTCACAACGCAAGCAGCCGTCCTCAGGTGAAGAACGGCTGTCGGAAAGACAGCGTCTGAATCGAACACCACCAAGCTTGGCAGCGTATATTTAAGCTGGGTTAGAGGAGGAGGGCGCCTTGACAAAGGAATTTGCATATCAACAGAGGAATTTAGCATATTTATGGAAAATGCAGATGTATTTCTTATTTCCCTTCTACGTGACTTTACCGTAAGAACCAATAGACCAGTGCCGAATATTTTAATAGATGTTGCCTCCACCAGCGCTGGATGGACTCCAGGCAGCCGCAGCCGCCGCCGCCTTGCCCGTGGGGCCACGGATTCACAACGTGAATCCCCCCTCCCGTGCCTTCTATGCAACGACTGATTAATCATTTCGAAGCGATGACTCCGCGTATGGTGAATTGGGTAGAGTGCGCGTCCTAACGGATGTCTGAACTCGAGAGACGCACGGTGTGCGGGAGGCGTGTATTAGAGCAGGGAGGATGGGTTTTTAGATCGCGTGTGGAAGTTTTCTGTTGTTTCAAGGCGTCGGAGCTTCCGCGGATTTCTTTTACTCCCCCCCCGCCCCTCCTTTTCTGACACGATCCCCCGTGCGTCACGTCCCGCACAGTGAACCCTTCTCGGAGCGAGTTGGCGAGAGGCGAGGGGCTGACATGGGTGTCTTCGTGCATCACCCCCGCTGCCCAATCCAATAAAACATTGTACATATTTCATATCTTCCTTTACCCAGTCACCTGCCCAGCCTCCACCCTCCTCTCTCCACCCACCGCCTCCAAAGATAAAGTCCCATCCCCTTCGTGTAGCCTTTAAAAGACTGTTGGGGCAAGTGTTGTGAGTGTACTCTTTGGTTCTTTTGGTAGAGTCACGTAGGTATAAATAAAATAAATTAAATCACGACGTTTCTGAAGCAACACAAGCGTCCGTCATCAGGTGGAACAGCCACAGCAAGAAACAAATTGCTGTGGCTACGTGACTTTACCTAAAGAACCAAAGAGTATGGATCCCTGCAGTCACGAAAACTTCAGATCTAGATTGCTGTGAGTGTCTTTGAAGGCCGGCACGGCACACTGGGGGGGGGGGGGGGGGGCAACACCACTCCTTTGTCTCCCCCCAGTGCTGATGTTTAACGCACACCGCACCAAGTTAGTAATTTACGGCCGAGTCGACATAGGGGATGCACAGTTCCGGCTAAAATATATTTGCAACTGTCGTCGGTCGTGATCTGGAATCGAACGCGCGTCGCCGGGTTCGTAGCGCAGTGCGCTGACCGCTGCGCCGCCGCTCCCCACCCCATGCCCCGTGCCCCCCACCCCATGTCTCCCGCCCCGTGCCCCCCACCCCGTGCCCCCCACCCCATGCCCCCCGCCCCATGCCCCCCACCCCATGCCCCCCACGCCCCCCATCCCATGCCTCCCGCCCCGTGCCCCCCACCCCGTGCCCCCCACCCCATGCCCCCCGCCCCATGCCCCCCACCCCATGCCCCCTGCCCCATGCCCACCACACCCTTCCAAGTCGCCCAACCCACCCACAGATGAAGGCTCCGTCGCAAAGCCCGCGCGGTCCTTGACGGCGTCATCTTTCAAGGGCTCGCATCTCGCCCTCGGCCACTCGCGGTCGAAATCCCGGGCGCCGTGCGAGGCAGTGAGACGCGAATGCTGCCCCCCCCCCCTCGTCTTATCATTTCAGCGCGCCCCCCTCCAGGCATCGCGAGCTGCACTCACGGTTAAAATAAAATAAAAACTCGCCAATAAATAACGCATGGCCGGGTCGGAGCATAGGACGTCAAATAATTCATAGCCCCAGAGTCTGGCACCGCTGAGTGTCTGGGTTCGGCTCCTTGCATCAGCTGCCCCGTGACTAAGCCGGGTGGTCGCGTGTAAAGTTGACTGTCGTCAGCTCGCTGACCAATGACCCTTCAACAAAACAAAAACCCCCACCACATTACATTTGGTTCCGCGTGTTTTTGTTGCGCTAAAATTCCCGCCCCCAGAGTATCGGTGTGACCGTCACGCCACCACGATCGTCTCTCTCATGTGGCAGAGCGGGTGGGACGGCGCTGCCCGCCACTGTGTGTGTAGACCATGGGTCACGTGCAGGGGTTTCGCCAGGAGCAGTTCTGTGATATCCACTTCCGTGGACCGTTCTCGAACACGAAGGGTCGCGCTGCCCCCCTCGGCATCCCTCTACTCCTGCCCTGCACCGTCGGCATCTCCATGGCCTCTCTAATCTGTGGGTCTCCATATGAGTCTATAGGTCTCTGCCTGAGTCTATGGATCTATTTGTGAGTCTCTGTGTTTCAGTGTGAGTCGACAGGTCTCTGTGCGAGTCTTCGCGTCTCTAAACTCCACAGTCTTTGTACTTGCATCTTCTTTGTTTCCTCTCAACACGAGGCCAACACATCATCTAAGTCTCGCCTCCTTATCGAGAATATTAGGCTCGCCTGCCAAGGCTTTAAAGCCATCATTCCCCACCCCCTTTCCCCGGGATATATTTGGGTGCGTTTTGCTCCGCTCTGTGAGCGCTGTGACAAAAGGGCCCCCTCCCCGCTCGCCGACACGCAAATTAACTTTCTCGCGATGCAGTCGCCTGATAATCCCGCACCCGAGGACGTCTCGAATTGTCTCCTTGAGACATTGTCAAGAGGGCTTCGCGGCACGGCTCAGAAGCGCAATGGTGGTTGTTTTGTTGTTGTTGTTGTTGCACAATCTGGAATGAAGTGGTCACGCGGGGGATTGATCACGCGGCCAGGCGAGCTGATTAAACTCGGATCTCGTTGAGATAAAAGTTGCAAATCTCTGCTCTGAGAAATCGGGGAGGGGTGGTAGAACAGCGGTGACAAAAACAGAGGCAGCAGCAACAACAACAACAACAAACAAACAACTGCTCGGAGCAGCTCGTAAATCCACCAGGGCCACGCGGGATGCATGCCAAGTGATCTGAAATCTCCCAACGCTGTGCGGGAGAAAAATGTCCCAACGCGTTCGTGATTCGTGCTTAGAACACCACGGGACTTGTCACGGTTTACCGTACGACTTGGAACGTCGGCTGACTTTTAAATTCATCCGGCGAGGAGGAGCCGGCAGAGCCGAGAAGCCTGGGTTCGAATCCGTGTGTTGGGGTCGCGCGCCCCAAGCTGTGAGTTAAACCGGATTCTCAAAGCGAGAGCGAATTTATGATTGGTTTCTCAAGGCCCTGCCACCGATAGCCTGCACAGGAAATTATCGTAATTCGTACGGGTTTAACTTGATTTGGTTAAGTTCCAACTCTGGGTATTTATTAATTCGCTCGCTCTCGCAGAAAGTTGTAGAGAACGACTCAGAGGAGGAAGCACCCGGAGGGACCTCACGCGCGCGAGGGGGCAACCCTCTATCCCATAAGACGGAGACGGGCGAAGTTTACGTTTAGCTTTACCGCCTGCTCCTGGCGAGCCAGGAGTACGGCACATCGTCGAGTCTCACCACACCTGTGTGCGGGTGATCCATCAACCATCGTGTCTGCCTATAACTCAGCGCTGGGGAACAGGCAGCCACGTTTCAAACAAGCCCCAGACACGGGTAATAAGTACGCGGGCGCTGTGTGAAATTTAGCAAAAAACAACCCATCAGCAGTTCCAAGAAAAATCATTAAATTTTATTGGAATTAGCCAACACGAATGGGTCCCATAGCGAGGAATTTGCACGCGGCTGCCGAAACCCAAAGCGCTGAGTTATAGGCGGCAACGAGAGTTGGTGGATCACGCAAAGAGGCATATGCTGGTGACTACAGTGCTGATGAGTCCTGAAAAGGGTGAAAAAGGTCCACAGTTGTCTCTCACTGCATCCCAGCTGCCTCTGTCAATCGGTTCACATTTGCTCAAATTAAATTTGATGGCGACCTGAGGCAGGATGGAGCACTTCTTCGGGAACATGCTGATGGTGTTTGCATAATGCATCAAGGCCGAGTGCTTTGTGTTACACCACGTGTCTGTGCGTTGTTTAAACCATTACTCCGTTGTGATGGCCTCTTCCCGTCATTCACCGACTTGATGTCACCTTCCACGGGCCGTCCTCTGACAACGGCGAGGGAGTAGCGCAGCTCTATACGAGAGATAACATTTGGTGGTGATCCGTCTCATGCCAATCTCTTCGTTCGTAGAATAATGCCCCACCCCCCACTCCTTTGTAAAGCCTCGCGAGTCTCAAGCCTCTACGTCTGGACGGTCCTGTAACATTCGAATCGTTTGGTCAATTCCACTCGCGAGAGACTGGCTTCCTGCGTTACGAGGATGTATCGGGAGGGCCCGGAGCAAATCCCGAATACACGAGGGGATGACCGCTCAGCAAAGCCACCGCACAGCCCCCCACGCCTACAGCACCTGGCAAGCCAAAGTTGGTCACTCGTCAGAGTTCGAAACGAGGCTTGCTTCGCTTCCGAGCTAAGTCGCCGTCGTTTAAACAAAGAAACTAACAACATGAATGAGACGCTCGAAAACGCCAAGGCGCAGTCAAGGAAGGA